AGCGATAAATAACGCCGGGTGGGAATCTGGCAATTCGTTGAGTGCCTCGAGGATTACGAGGACGGCCATAACGGCGTGGCTCCCGATGACAGCTTACGTGCCCGAAGAAAAATGTTCCGGCAATAAAAGTGCTAATTCAGACGTGCGCTCGCATCTGGAACGCGTCCTCGCAACTTTGTCGCGTACTCCGCAGCTTGCGCGCAACACGTGTTTAACGTGTCGACTCGCGTAACACCGTTTAGTTCGCGTTGTAACAGCTAATTTCGCAACGCAACGCACCGTTATACCGTTTCACGAATTCCGACTCCGTTTCATTTTCAAACTATGTAATTATGTAAATTCGAGATGCACGTGTCTCCGTTTGGAGATTTTTTCCTGCGCAGACGAGAATGTCGCCCACCCTTCGAGGAATTCGTCGCAGGGCTGTAGGCGAGGTTGTTCAGGGAATTTCGCGTGGGAGGCTCCTACGTGCATAACTACCGTCTTGATCTCGCAATTTCGGGAACTCTCGTCGACACAAAGCGTGTAAAGGGACCTGGGTGACGCGCCAGCGGGGGTGTCCAGGCTGAAAAGCTGAAGAGGGTCGTCGCCGTGCCGCGACACGTAGCAGTCGCAGGGGCAGTGGCACGTAACTAAGATGAAAAGACCCGGGAAACGAAGAAAAATAGCTGCCAGCCAGCGGGCGAAGGACGTGGGAACCGCGGGAGAGGCCCTCGAGGGGCCTTCCGCCACCTGGTCACCCTTTCCGCCCCCAGGAATGCGAGAAAGGGTCGATCGTTTCGCGTTGGAAAGTGTTTCTGGGCTAACACTCCCACGCTGAGAGGCGTATTCAAATTACACGGAGTGATACGGGAGACTCAGACACGACGAGGGCTGGCTCCTCGTTAATTTTGACAGAGGGAAGCCATTTCGGACGGGGGAATCCCTACGTGCTTGATTCTATCTAACATTCTTCTATGACAAAATTTAATATGACGATGGGAGCCTATTTTTCTTGGGATCTTTATTAGATCCTTCTCAAGCTTTTGGACGAAGCAAAAACAATTTAACAGTCATTCAGTAGCGTTATATAAATACAGAACAAATCGGAAATGATTACAAATAAAGTTTAATAATTACAAATAAACTTTGATACCAAGAATAATTCAAGTTTTTATTTCGAAATAAAATTCTGCTTTAATAAAATTCCGTTTGAAATAAAATTTTTTAAACCGAAGGAAACCCTAGCCAATCAGAATCCACTCGATTCCCATTTTTGACAACGTAGCTCGAGTTCAAACCGCAACCTGGTTGCAGCAAAAACAATTATCCACAGTCGTTCGCTGTAACGATACCAAACAATCGGCGGTTTCGATTAAAACAAATCGATTGTAGCAATCAAAGCCGACACATCGATTCCAAAACAGGGAACCAAGCATCCAACGCTACGTAAAAACGAAAATTATTGTGATACGGTGGCAACGATTTACTCTACTATATCGAGTGTGCAGAAATTGAGTCGATTGCAACATTAAACACTCCTGAGGTTCATTGTTTCCTTGATCTTGGGTTTGTACATAAAATAGATGCTAGAAGAAGAGGGCAGCATGCAGGAACCGAACAACTTGAAATAAAGTTCAGAGGGTATATTTTCAAAGCTTCGTGCTTTAAGAAACTGCCAAAATAATAAAAATGTTTTGCTGTATTTAAACGTGCGATCGGCTCCAGTGCTCGAAATGTCGAAAACGATAAATGAAACGAGTAGAACGGCCATTGATAGAAGGACGGCCTTTCTCTAATCGTTACAGGACGCGTTATATTTATCGCAGCCATCGCGAGGCCACGATGCAAAGTGCATCGACGCAACAGCGTTCGTGTGTAATGAAACGCAATTGCGCATCGATCGTCCAACTCCAGAAAAGCAGAAAAGGTGGGGGATGCGCGCCACCGAGGGATTAAAGACGTCTCTCACATTCGAATAGCCCGTAAACGCGCGGAATCATCCCCGCTAGAAACGGATCCGGTCTCTCCCCTTTCTTTTTCCATTTCCTCTTTCGACGAGCTAACTGGAATCGAGGAAATTCGACCGGAAGAGCGTCGTCATAAATTTTTCATTCGATCCGCCAGGAAGGCCCGAGGCGCCGCGCAAGATTTCGTCCCGCTGATAACGACCAACCAACGTCGCGGCGCAGGGTCGATAAAGATGGCGATGACGACGATAATAACAGAGCAGCGTCGTCGCTGTATCGCTGCCAGGGATTCCTACGGAGCGGAGGAAAGCTCGCTGGGGTACTGAAAAGCGGCTTCTTCCGAGCTCGAAAAATAATGAAGCGTGGGACAAAGCTCCGAGGAATCCCTGAAAGCGGATACGACGGTTAAAGGCGACAGGCGCTTGCAGGATGCCCATAAAACTCCAGTCTGTTTGCTGGGAACACTAATTAGATCCTAGTGAATATTTCACGATGCGTTTCTGGTACGTCGGCTTGGGGACTCGAGGCTGTGGTTTTTCTATCCAATTTTTAGGCCCTTTTCCGGGGAGTTTTTTTTGTCAAAAGGCTGCAAAACATACGAAATTAAATCTCTACACAGATACTTGCGCGGCCTTTCAATTCGGAGATATGGATGTTTAAAAGCTGTTCCCTGGTTCGTTATTTAAACTATAGAGGGAGTTGAATTTCATTACGCCGGGAAATCGCTATTATATCGCGGAGTAAAATTGATCCTGGTCATTTCGAACGGTGAAATTGTAATTGATATATCAATTTTCAATGATATAAATTCATTTTATGTTCTCCACAAGGACTGATTAAAAAAGATTTCATTTCGATATTATTAAGTCTTCGAATAAACCATATTACTGCAATAAAGGATTCCACGTTTATTAAAAGCCTCTCTGTTCGACCATCCAACGCGAACGAGGTAACGAAGAACAAGGCGAGGCGATATTAGAAGCTGCGAACGATCCGCTGACACAACTCCTCGCGTTGAACGAACCTCGATAACGGATATAACGAGACCTGATAAAGAAACGGCACGATTTTAACGACGTCGGGCAATATGGCGACGGGAATTTATGGAGGACGATATTTTCCTCCCTGAGCGACGTCCTGAAACGCGTTCACGGGAAAAACGAGGACGACCAAGATGCTGAGGAATGATGAGATGTTTAAAAAAGAATGGTTATTACAGGTATAAAAGTGAGATCGGTTCGGGACGACGATGATGATGACTGTAATAACGCTGATATCGCATCGTTCGATGGTCCATCGTTTCTGGAGAAGTCATCCCGTTGTTTCCCGCGGAAAGAAAATTCTAGGAAGCCCTGCGAGGTAGTGTCTCACGAGAAAAGGCAATGGGGTCAGCAAAGTACCTTGTACTCGCGTGGCTATTTTTCCAAACCTACGTACCCCTCGACGTTTACGACCTCAAATTTTATTCGCGCTCCATTTCTTCTCTATCGACCATTCTCTATCGTTCTTTCGAATGTATTTTCTGATCCAAATATATTAATATTTTTGTACTGTTAAGAATTACAACACGATAACGGTAACAATTGCTTGGAAATCATGCCGTGGCACCATTCCGCAATCGAATTTATCTCCGACCTTGCGCAATCCTGGGAAAGGACTCCCTTAATTATATCAAGCGCGGCGACGCTCGTGCGGGCCAAGTTTTCCCAACGAAAGTTACGTAGCTAGGAGCCAGGACACCGAAACCTGGTGGGAGAAGTTTGCATAATTAAAAGCTTCGTAACTGTGGCGAGAAAATCGTCCAAATGGTCGGGGCGACTTGTCATCCAACCTTGCGCAATTAAACAGTACTTGACAAGAGTAACTGACTTCTGCCATTTTTCGCAGCCACTAAAAATTGGTTAGACAGATATTATTCAGCTTGGGGGATTGTAGTTTTATTCTTGGAACACGAAGACAATTATCAGAGTGACTCTTCAAGAATAAGAGTAGACTAGGGCTCAAGGTTTTCAAAAATCCTAACTGTGAGTCGCTGCGATCGACCATCACACTTTTATCGAAATTAATTTATTTTCTTTTTTATCTTACTTATCAAGGAGTTAACGAACAATTTATGTCGGCAGATGACGAACCCACTGTCTCGACCCATAGCTATTCTAGAGCAGCCTATTAAGAGCCTATGTACTGGAAAAAATGGTGAAAATTTTAATAATCCACAAAGATCTCTAGAAAAAGGTCACTAAGCAAGATTAACTCCATAAAATTGACCACAACCTCAGCGTGTCTCTTCAAGGATGAGTCTGCATGACTGCTACGCACAGGTTGACCTCAAAAAAGATCCAATTACAAAGTTGAACCGATCTTAATTGACCATGTGCAATTTGGTCAAGGACTCCAGGGTCCAGAGCCTGGAGGAGCGGTTTCCAGGACGCTGGGTCCGGATAATCGCCTGTTGGGTCACCGTTAGGTTTCGAGGTCGCGCCAGGACACCAGCCCTTCGCATTCACGCATCAACAGGTGAACGATCGTCCTCGGAGCTCACAGAGCGCGTGTCCCTTTCACGGAGATCCTCCTCGTTCTTCCTTCCAGTTCCACGAAGCTTGGCCGGCCGCATGCGCGACGCCATTCAATGCTTGATAAGGGACGATTTTAACCTTTTAACTGATGCCTTCGAGCATGCTCGAAATTCTACTTTATTCGTTTACTCTAAATGCCAAGAATGAGCCAGATTTTCTCCCCCTCTGGTATTTAATTTCCGTGGATATAGACGTTCATACTTTTGCAAAGTTTTACCTAAGAAAACCCGCTAGCAGACAAAGGGTCCACCGTCTAGCACACACGTGTCTACTCGTGTTCCTCGTAGAGAATGAAGATGAGGATAGTGTCTGGGCGTGAGACCAGTCGTGTTTCTGCAGCGAAGAAAGGAAGACAAGGGGGATGGACGTTGGAAAGCGAAAGAGAAGCGCACAGAGCAGAGGGTAGGAAACGAGAAAGTGTAGAGCGAGAGGGGGTCGGCGAAGCAAGGGGTGAAAAGGGAGCAAGGGAGAGCGAGCGAGAGAGAGAGAGAGAGGCAGGGCACCGTAGCCAGATCAATACACACGGCCAACCCCGTAGTAACGCATAGAATACCTTATTCATAACATACCGCTGTGTCCAGTGTTTTCTTTAAACCCCCGTCCACCCTCGTCGGTGTGGTCGCGGGCCTGTATTTACGTCGGGTTTTTGAAAAAGACCAGGGATTAAAAGAGATCCATCCGAGACCCTCTGGGGATTAAGCGCCGGTTTGACCGTTCTCCTGCTTGTTCGACGTTTAAGGCTGGGCTTAACTCTCCCCGATCTGGGGAAAATGGGACTGGAGGACCAAATAGGCTGGAGGAGTAGTTATTCCTTGAGAAAACTGTCCAATAATCGTGTACGAGATACATTAGGAAAATCAGAAGGATAAAGCGAGAAAAGCGTTTACCGGAACCTCAGAGTCCAATGACCTTAGATAACCAAGATGCCTTCCACCTAGTCCAAGATTCTCTACCTATCGCGGAGCACTTTCGACTGAATCTTCCTACGAGCAACTTCAGAAGTTCCAGTTCTCCCAGGAAAAATCAGAAGGCGAATAAAACTGCGAACAAAGCGAAAAAGCTAACCTTACTGAAACCCCCGAGCGAATGACCTCGGATAACCAAGATGCTCCCACCTAGCTCAAGATCCTCTAACAATCGTAGAGCACTATCGACTGAACCTTCCCTCGAGTAACTCTGGTTATAAACGAGTCGGTTTCCAGGACCAAATTCGTAGCCTTCTCCGTGTTAATCCCCGAAAACTGAGATACCGACAATTTCGTCGCTAGTTCGCGAGTCCCTCGGTCGTTCGACGCAACGCAATAAGTCGACTTTACGAGCGGAACACTCGCTGTTGCGTTCCGTCCTACAGGAAACAGAACTATAAAAGTACCTTTTGTTTTTTTGTCGCTCGCGGAGAATCTCCACCGCTGGCTGGGGATACATATTGACCCGTTCGAAGCACGGAAACTCTCGAGCACTGTTAACCCACGAAACCTGAGCACTCGTTGCAAAGAATGCACTTCCGAGCTGAAGAAGACGACTCTCTCCCTCTGAATCTGATCTTTTAGGCAAGCTAGGAGGCATATCGATTCGAGCCTGTGATATCGTCAGGTGGCGTTTCACTGGAAATAACGTTTTATTTAAAGATCTTAGAGGACCCGTACGACACTATCTCGATAGATATTTTGGGAAGCTATGCAAGGAAAGGTTTCGATGTTTCGTGAAAATTCGATTCTCCTGTGGATTGAAATACATTTTTTTAAGGCGTTGCTCTGGCATCGTTATAATGACTGCTTTGGAAGTATCAATTCCTTTAATAGAGAAACTTTGAGCGAAATGTGAAGAAGGAGGATGTTCGAATAATTTCTATCGTGGATCCACTTTTTCACGCACGGAATAGCAAGAACACCTGAATTTACAGAAAAATCAAGTCGCAACCCTTTGCAACCCTCACGTTCGAGTTACGTTAAGAATGTTGGACCCAGGGAGCAGTTTTGAAAATCGACTTTTGCCGAGGTTTTCGATGGAAACATAGCCAGCTGCGGCGACCGCGCAGATTAAATTCGAGAAACCTGAAAGCGGTTTCGTTTCGATCAGATACGTTCCACGGGTTCGAAAAGCGGGCCACGTAATGAATTCGTGCGCCCTTCGTCGATGACCTGGTTCCATTGCGAACGACGCTATGCTAAATGAAGGTACGACCTTCCGACACGAGGGTCGCGCGAGGTCGCGGAAGATTAGTCGCCGCTCCTTCGCAAACCTGAATTCCTCGCGTTGAAAATCCATCAGAGTCGTCCACCCTGATCCGTGACTTAACGTTCTACGCCCCTGTTACCCATCCACTCGATCTTCTCGATTCGAACGATATCGATGTACTCTTTGAAGAATTTGGCTACTTTGGAGGCTCGGATGCTATTTCAGACTTTGTCCGAGAAAACTATCAAGTATATCGACTTGAAATCTTGTGTGGTTGTTTGCTTATGTTTTGTTAAGATATAGAAATTGTTTGGAGCCTACAGAATGTATTTTGTGGAAGTAGCGTGCGATATTTGCGACAGGGTAAGTAGCGTTTGAAATTCGCGCGGGAAAGCAAAGGGTCGGGCGCGGCATCGCGCAGGCGCGTGCGCGAATAAATAGGTGGTCGAGGTGGGCGGACAGGAAATTAAAAGCCTCAATTAGCGCAGCCTTGTAACCTTGTCAGCGAGTTCCTCCTGCTGCAAGAATCGATACGACCCCTATAGACGCGCAAGTAGCACGATCGCCTTGTCAGATCCCGTTAGCAGCGCCCAGAAGAGAATCGACTTTCCGATTTAATCGCATCGCTATCTTCCATTTCGACGAGACGGGTGTGCTACGTCTGCGTTTTACATGGAAATTTCACCGACTAATTTTTCAACCGATCGACAAAGTTGACTTCAAAAGGACTTCGAAGTAGTTTTCCTCGCATTTATACGAAAAATTACGAATCTTCCTCGAAATGTACAATTCCTCTCTCTACAAGCGAACAATGTATCAAATGAAATAGGGTAAATTCAAATGAATGAACAATCAACATCTCGGTCTAAGATACTCAGTAATTTCACCTAAAAAAAAAATGCCTACTAGGTATCGAACGAAGGGAAAATTAATGAAATAATTTTGATGAAATTTCCAAGACGAAGGCTTTACTAGGGGGGCGTTCAAAGACGCTAGAGACGCGCGTGGTCGGAGCAACCCTGTTTGTTTGCTCTTTCGCAAAGTCAACAAAAATTTCGCCGGCCCGACACGAGCAGCGAACGAACGAACAGTGGACAACGGTCGAGCCAAATGTAGTTGGCCGAGCAGCCAAATGAGTTTGCGTCTATTATTACGCTACACCCAGCCGTGAGCCACGAGCCACCACGGGGCCCGGCTATACCGTCTATACTTGCTATAGCGTCCACTATATGCGTGCTACTATAACAGTGACTCTTAACCAGCAGCAGAAAACTGCTCCGTGTCGTCAATGTTTGACAACAGATCGAGAAGAGTCGACGGACGATCCTCCGTAGCGAGTAATAGCGAGCTACTGGCTGCGAACTTGTGCAGCGGCGCTTTCCCTAGACCACGGCACCATTTTTATTTTTCCTCGACAGCTCGTTCGTATTGCGACGTTATTTCATGATCCACGCGTCGCCGTGACCGAGCTGCTGGTAATTAAATTCGAACCCAAATGAACCCTCTTGTTCGCGACTTTCTCTCCAATTTTCGACGAGCATTTACCCAAGGGGAGAGGGTGAAATTCATTGACCGGGTCAAATGCGTGTATTTCTCGCATTATTCTTCGATTTTATTTTGTTATACGCGGAGAGAACTGTGGCGTTGATTGACAGGATAAATAATATTCTTTCAACGTTAAACGGGAGGCTGTCGTGGGCTTGCGTTTATTGTTATCGAAGAAATTTTTATTCATCTGTAATTATTCGATGGAGGTTTAAAAAATCGAATGTACCTCCCGAAAGCAATCCTCATCCATCCCTCCGTAAATATTTCACTTTACAACTAAAATTGAGAATGTTCATTCATCAAGCATCAAACATCGAAGTGTTCGTACTTTGTTCGTACTTGTTATCTGAATACGAATTCTCCTATCTGGTAGCGCAGAAACGCGCGGTTAATTTCCTTCCGGAATTCGTAAAATATTGCTCGGAACGTACTTTGCTCAAGAGAATTACGACGACGGAAGAACAGAGCGCGCGCGCGTACACGTATGCATGAATGCATAATTATTGCGAATGTTAATTACTCCCGACAGCGGCACATGTTTACCATTCACACACAGAGCCTGATAAGATCGGATAGAACTGGAGAAACAGCAGCGATCGCGATAATAATATTCGAACGTGCCTCGGCACCTGTGACCCACTTCCAAACCGAATAAATGGCGACTTTGTTTTTCTTACCTCTGCTCGGTGCTGGTTTTCAATTAGAGCTGGAATAATGTCCTCAAGGTAGCTCGCAGATAGGCGAGATCTAGATAAAAACTTGGACGCAGATACTTTATCCATTGCTCGACGAGCTCGATAAAGAGAGAGCTTTGCGTTCGTTGTTAAATGTCGTTTGTTACTTGAAATTTCTTTTAGATGAAGATTTCGTCCATTTTGGAAGTTGGGAATCGAGAAGGAGAAGATGAAAGGAGATGATAGTCGAAAAAATCAGACTTTATAGGATCGAATAACGATTATATACTTGAATGATATCGCGACACGTGACCCACATTCGAGAACAAATTTCGAAGTTGAAAGCAGAAGAGGAAAGAATAAAACTCGCGGTGACCGGATTACCGAATTCTTGGCACTGTATTCAAAATATCGAGCTCCTTCCAGTTTCCGATCTTCCACTTGGACATATCCCCATGCCATTTGTGCGTTATTAAAAGAACAAGATCATAAATCTCCTGGTAGAAAACCGTTTAGACGATTAATCGCAAGATTCCTTTGCGCAAAAGTAATCCTAACGAATCCGATGCTATCGAAGGTAGTCGACACGAGGATCCAGTGAAAAGTGATAAATGAATCACGTAGGGAAGTGATCCAGAAATTTCAAAACGACCACCACGATCCATCGCGAATATTGGATAACGGGCTAAACGCCATTTCGGCGAATTAATCTAGGTTTTTGATTCCACGTAACGTTGCGGACCCGTTGTCACGTTATTTATTATAAAACGCGAAACTATTCCGCCCCGCGACGATTCCGTGTGTCATTATTTGCCAACGTTGGCGGTCTATAAATATTATCATGGCTTCATAATGCCTGCCTTCCTATGCTATTTTCGTTTGCTCGAGCGACTTGCCGATCGCTTTCTCGACGTCCACGCGAGAAACGATACGGCATCGCGGTTCAGTCGAGAAACACGTGCCTCCTGAAGAATTCTTCTTAGGGCTATGTAAAGGATATTGGCGCATAAAGCCGGTTGTTTTCGCTACGCAACCGCTTATGAAATTAAAACGTATGGTTGGGAGCAGCTGTTGGAAATGGCCTCCATTGGTAGCGACACGCGCGTCGATACACGTTACGTATCATCGATTGGCTCGCGTATTTGACACTCACGGCTGATTTCTTACGGTACAGCAGGCAGCCGCATTGTAATACGTGGTTGCAATTCCTGAATATTTCGCACCGTTACGTAAGGAAAGCTCTGACAAAGTTGCTGTCAAGGTTCGCGAGGCGTTCAATCTTTCAATGTCGATTCCGACGAGTCGCAACTTACTTAAGAGATTACGCCACCTCGACGGCGACTAAGCGGAGGGTGGATTTATGAATTCCTTGGAAAACCACCCCCCGACCCCCTTAGAATAAAATAAAATTTTATAAATAAAATACAATTTCATTCTAAGGAAATCTCGGTCGAATACAATTTTTAATACTGCGAAATTAACGCTACTTGCATATCACACCATAAATAATGGCAAAATAAAAGTATGCAAACTCTTGTTGCACCAATCATTCTCTCACCGGAGTGTTGACAACATTATTCTGCAACGATTTCAGACACAAACCGGTAAATTTAACAACACAACAATACCATCGTAAATTTATGATAATTGTAAATAGACGAGCAACTGGACGCAACTTGTAGGATGAGGGATTGGCAGCTGTTGGTTGGCTGCTGATCAACCGCGAACATTCTCACGGCGATCTGCTGCCGCGAGTCTTTAAAGAGCTAGATTGTGTTTCATAATAAATTACGCCGCGACGGTAACAACATTATTAAGCATCTCGGTTCCTTATTTCCCATTCTTTGCGACATCGATCAAACGTTGCGTAACGCCAATCGCCGCTGACTTTCTTCGAATTACCTTTGATTTTGGGAGGATTATGTCGATTAGTTCGGAGAATAATTCCTGTCTGAGACAGACTTCTGACTCATTTCATATTTAAACTCTCTGTGTTAGAATCTTTTTCGAAGTCTTACGAATGTTACAGTTGCATCTAACTAGAACCAGAGAAAAATCGGCGAATTCTCTCCCCTTCGATCCAAGGAATTGAGAACAGAAGAAAACGAGGTGACAACGAAGATGTCAATTTCCATAAAGAGCAATTTGGCCTGCGAGGTCTCCCCATTTATTTCTAGAGTTCGTCAAAACGAAGAGGAGCGTGAAAAGGGAGCCCGCGAGACAAACCAATGGTGGAAAAAAGAACGATCGAACGTGGAAAGGCCAAGATGGAGTCAGGGGTTCGGAGCACGTACACTCTGCATATTTAACGCAATGAGAATGCATTGGGCCAAGAATATCGTGAAAGGGGACGCAATTTTTCTAGGCACAAACAAACGACCCCGGCGAACGTGAGTACCATTGTCGAAACCCAGATTCCCGTGAACTTTGAGAAATAACTACAGACTGCTTCCGGTTGCAGTGGACAAACTACGGGAGCGTGCAATACGAGAAGAATGGTTCCTGCGACCGAGTATTCCTTCGGAAATTTCTGCCACGGTCCATTCTTTCATCCTGACCGATATACACGAACAAATTAACCCTAACCCTGGTAATCCAAACAAATATTTTCACAATCCTTGAGGTACGTACTAACCCTGTCTAAAAGGAAAAGTCGTCTCTTGCGTTCGTTTCATCGGAATTAATTCCCAAAGACTCTATTTTGGAGCAATTTGGCTCCCCGGTCCCCGAAGCCGTGGCTTCCCTATTAGGCCGGATAATGGAGGTTCCGCGCGTAATAAAATATAAAAGGTCGAGTATCCTAGACGCCGAAAAGCGTGTTCTGGAAGACAATATCCCCTCCGATAATGGAAGTCGCGCCCATAATTCGCCGGGGTAATTCAGTCAACGGGCAATTATCGGGGCAATCGTTCGGCGCGTGTCGAAGCTGAGGCAGGATGATCGAATGAGGGCGCAGCAACTCGCGAGGCGGGTTACACGTAAATTTCTACGAGCGCAGACGTGTCACCGTTCCCGTCTGCGACTGGAGACGCAATTAGACTGGAAATATATTAGCTCGGTAACGCGAGAGCCCGTGTAACGCGACGCCTTTTAAATTCGGTAATTGTCCAACGGGGTGAAAGTGGTCGCGGGACGTAATTGACGAGCTGCCTCGAAAAGAATCCAGAAACGCTTTCGTCGCGACGCTGGACGTCTCTGGCAGTACCTCCCGCTCCCGCTGCCGTTTCGCGTGAGATTTTCCAAGCTTTTTCTCGCAGCTTTGAAAGCAAAAACGGAAAGAAACCGTGTTCCATTGCGCGAGGCTTTCCTCGAGATGAATTAATCTTGAAAGAGTGGTTTAACCAGGCCAGCGACGACCACGGAATATAGAATAATAATTTCCGACCTTTGGCGCGAGATGAATGTGGTTTTAGCTTTGCAAAGTGTCTCGAAGGAACGTTCCCCGATTAGTTATAGTCTGTGTGCTTGCTCTGACGGAGCTGAGTGGCCGGGTAAATCTTATTTAGGTGCAAATTTTGAATGGCGAATCAGAGATAAGTCTATTAGAAGGTACGAGAAATACTCGACCCGCGTATTTCGCGAAGGTAGTTATGGTAATATCGAGGGGAAACTAAGAAAGTTCATTTTAAATATTTTTCGTTCCTATCCGTAGACATTTATCTCTCCCTCTCTCTCTCTCTCTCTCTCTCTCTCTCTAGGTACGTTTTTATATACTTTTCTCTCCGTAATACGTACCTTTTCCACTTTAATGAGAGACGTTCTTTGTAATAAAATATTTTCTCCTCCACTGAAATTATCATGGCGCTCGGTTCCGGCCAATTTACACACATGGATATTCATTATGCCGTTAAGTAATCTCTTTGATTTACGAGTACTCTCGGAAGTCCACCTAACCAATTAACCACGAAATAAAATGTCGGAAATAGATTTCTTGAAATTATTATATACAAAGATGAAAATCTCGCGTTTCCCAATTTGTTTCTTTATAAATTTGTTTCTACCAAAACGAGTAAAGCAACGTAGCTAATACTCGGGATGCAAAACGACCTGTACGAGCTGCACAACGGAAGGAGGGGGAATTCGAACGGCTGCGAACGAGACGACGACGTGCATGCAGTTCGCATACACGAAGCGTGTTGCGCGCATCTGTGGCGCATACAGAATCGTAGACGCCAGAAAGTGGCCTGGGTACACGGAAGCCATTCTCGACAGATGCACCAGTCGTAGAGCTGCAATTTTCATGCGACTGGCGCACACGCGGCTCGATGAGCGACCGAGAAACAAGACGTCAACTTGCAACTTAACCCTGAGTCGGCCTCGAGTCACCCGACGGCCCATAGCACTTCTATCATTCGACGCTAACGCGTTAGGAAACGTGCAGAATTTTATCAGAGTCGTTGATAACCGATAGAAACACCTTGCAACAATTTATTCATGGTTCGATGATCGGTTACGTAGCTAACATTTTTATTATTCGGGAGTTTAGATTTTTTTACTTCGATCTTGTCCAACGAGTGAGGGATGGAAATCTGTTTATCTCTTGTTACGTTTCTCCGAATTTTGAATTGCATTTATATCGAACTATGAATACTAACATTCATACATTAACATAACGTAACATAACATTCATAGCCAAGGCCTTTCAAGGTCAAGTAGTAGTTCTCTGGTAGTTGGATATTTCCCAAGTTCTTATCTTAATTACACCTCCATCTACAGAGTAATGATGAACAATGTATCGAAATTACATCACCAAGAATAAACCAGTACAATAACCAATTTATTTTTCTTAATAATTATTCCGGCGAAGAATAATGGAGGAATGGAAATTATTATTGCTGGTCGAATTATTATTCGCATTGCTAGGAAAGCAGATCCAGAAACAGAGGATTATCAGAGACCCTCGATCGGTCCCTGCTCCCTTAAGAATTGGGTTAACCCCTCGAATCGCGAAGTAAATATCGCCCCGCTTGAACTACTTTGCATTGCTTTCAAAGCAGAGGAAACGGGATCAATAATGGTAATCAAATTTTATGTAACTTTTAAAGGGGACGCTGCGCCCTCTGACTCGCGCAAAAACGCATTCAACGATAGGAATTGCAGAATTTAATTGGAGGTGAGGCGAGCGGAGTCCTGCGACTATTATAAAACGGGATGTAAAAATAGAGAACGTAATTGGGGTGATTGAACGGACTGTAACTAGAGGAAAGTCCGGCTCCGAAGGTGGATTCAACGTGAATTCCAATACCGAACATTGCGAATTCAAGACATCAGTGAGAAAAATAAAATACTCACAAGTACGAAAAAAGTAAAACATCCCAAATTTCAGCCTCATGTTTAAGTTGCTCCGAAAAGAGTCCAATAATAACCACCTTTCTGCAATTTCAATTTTCTTTGATCCAAGCATGGTCAAACGAGAAACCGACGCGTTCGAATTATTTATAATTTTGGGCTGATTAAGTCAAAGCGGACGATGAGATCCGTTCGTTAGAAGGCGCGAGAAGACGGAGGAATATAAAAGGGGCGCGCTGACGGATGAATGCCCGTATCGCGTCCCGTCGACAGAATAACACGTTGGATCATCAAAAGGCCCGTTAAAAATCGTTAATCGTCGACCACGGTTGGAGGTGCTCCAAATTACGATATTCGCGTCATGACAATGAGTTATATTCGGTGGTTGATAGTTCGCGGTCGCACGCGTGACCGCGGCGATGGCTATTTTTATACCGTTTCATCTTACGTTGGACTGCTTGACTGTGTTCCTCGAGTATCGCAAGCCTAATCGATCCAATCACTGAGATTCGTCAACCTTCAAAAGAAAACATAAAAAAAAAACCCTGATTCGAGTAAACCATTGCAAACTATCCCATCACAATTCTCGACCGAATAACATTCAAGAGTTACTCTACTAAACTACTCAAAGTTAATCATCAGGAGTGCCATTAAAACGCTCGAATATTAAATTACCCTGTCCTAGTATGGATAGGTTTGTCGTTGGAGCAGAAACAACACACCAACCAGAAATACGGGGAGCGTCGCGCGTCGTTTCGACGTGGACGTCGAAAAAGATGCGCCGAAGGAGCCTGACGATTTGGGAGGGGGAAAGAAAAACATACGCGGAGGGCGCCACGCAATAAGGGTCGCCGACCCCGAAGTGCCTGCCACCTGTACATCCTGAACCAATTCCCCTTTTCGGCAGCAATGTGGGTCAGCACGCCTCCTCGGCTAAAAAAGGCATGCCATGCCGGTGGGTATCGGCGAACACCAGACAATGCACGCTTCGACGCGTGCACTCGTACAAAATGAAAATACACCCGATGGTCGACCATTGTGCGTGCACGCCACCGACGAAAGGGAGCACAGAAACTGCGAACCTGTTTCGCAGGGTCGCCAACCGGAAATGCACTATCCAAAGAAAGTCTAGTACCTGTGAAACTCGCTGAATATGTCAGAGCTTTGTAGGTCATACCCCTAAATTTCTTGTACGTTTCTTTCGATATCAAAATGATCGTTATCTACAATCATAATACCCATTAGAATTCATTAGAATTCGAAATTCGTGACTTTTGGGGGCCTACTGGTCCCCCTCTAGCTAGGGTACCTGGGGATTGCTAAACCCGTACTGCAGCTGCAATCAAACACAGCTACAGCCCCTGAGGGCGATAAAGATTGTGTGCATTCGATTAGAGTGCAAGAAAATGTTTCATTCGTTCCTCGAGAGGTTAATAAATTTGGTCTGCATGGGAGAAGTCTCGACGACGCGTTCAGGATGTTCTTGAAATAGTGTCAATCGCGAAAGGTCCGAGAGGATCTATAAATAGCTCGGAATTTACGGCACCGTGAGATGTTGGGTCTATTTGTAGAATCATGTAAAACTCTGTATTTACAAACAGATGAATACTAGGGACCGGGTAACCTTCAGCCCTCAACGATACGTCAACGTGACACAATTCCTGAGGTACCAAAGCAAACCAGCCCTAATCTTCCCAAACTCGCCACCCCTAAAAACTCCGAAAACCAACGTAACTTTGAACCGCAACAATATTTTCCTCCCTCTCGACTAAAAGAAAGAAAAAAGGTCAGCTTGATTTGGAGCGCTCGAGAAGCAACGTCGGCGCCAATGCTCGCATCCCCACGGGACACGTATTTACATGGAACACGCATTAGCGCACGTATGTACGTACGTAGTCGCGAGAGCCGGTCAGCTGTTCGAACGACGGACGTCCAGACGCGAAATCCTCGAGTGCGGCGTGCCGCGTCCTCGAGACAATTCCGTTCCTCGACCTCGTGGAAACGGGGCTAACCGCGCGAGACGCACGGCTCTGCAGACAAGAAGATGGCGGGGGAGGCGGGGTTGATGGGCAAAACGCGAATTAGGTTAGGTTGCACGCGCGGAGGGAGGGAGGGAGGGAGACATAAACCGTGAAGCTGGTTCGAGCGGCCCGTGTCCGCCTCGAGTGAAATTCCACGAATCGTTTCTGAAATTTCAGAAACGCACAGACTCGTACGTACGCGGTAGATTAGGGTGGAAAAGCGTGGTTCGGAGTGTCAGTGAGAATGCCTGGCAGGTCGATAGCAATGGCGCCGCGAAGCTACGAAGAAAATCAATCCTGTACGACACGCGACGTGTTTTGACGCGCCTGCTTCTTTCTGGCGTGGATTTTCGTTGCATAGAGGTACGATGGATCCCCACGATTAGGATCGTCGAGGGGGCTATCGGTGTATTTTGAAACGAGGAAGGGTTAAGCCTGATTCCTACCGACACTCGGAGGACGCTCGAACGACGCTCACGCCAAATTCGCGACACGGCGTCTTCCCTGGTTCGAATGCCTCGAAAACAATGTCGGGATACTTTTCGATACAGCCTCCGAGTGGTCCTCCGAGGAAGGTGGAAAAGGAGCTTGCGAAAGGGGGAGAGGGGGTGGAAAGAAACCCGAGGAGAAATAGAGGATCGGAGTGCTGACGTACCGACCGAGGTGGCCGGAAAAGATGAGGCCGCAGGGCCACGCACACGCACACACAAGTTAAGATCGCGGCGTACACCGTCGCACGACGGCACACCATAAACCCAAGGTGCGCATACGGTGCACTCACTGACGGAGTCGAGGTCGGAAATTTAAAGGTCTAGGAATATGTTTGTATCGCTTACTTTTGATCACTCGTTCCGTCGTGGAGAGCTTCTGCGAGTTGTTCGAGGTCATGCTGTATCGGGATGGTTGACGGGTGGGCGCCGGTCTCTCGCTCTCTTTCTCTTCTTTCTCTATTTCACTCTTCCCCGGTCACAGGATCGTCTCTCTCTCTCTCTGCCACTCACTAGCTCGTGTCACACTCGGTCTCGCTGGCTGTATAATTTTTTTTTTTTTTTTCTTTCTTCTACCTCCGGCCCGTGGTTCACTTCGCGCGAGGTAGCACCTTCCTCTCGAACGGGGGGTTGGGTGGAAGGAGAGGGCGGTATTTTCACCTCGAGAGCCCGGCGCGGCACACACACATACACACGCACGGAGTGGGGGAGAGGGAGGAGTGACGGGGGGGTCGGAGAGGTGACGGAAGTTATCGCACGGTGCGGCACATCGGTGGCTCCGGAGCGTTGTTCATTGGGCGTTTGCGGAGTGAGAAATTATATTCCTGCCCGTGTTGTCCCTCTCGCTTACCCGTGTATTTACGACACACCGACCCGACCCAGTAACTCCGACTCTGCTGCTGGCTATCTTTCTCGCTCTTGCTCCCTCTGTCCGACGACGAAAGGTAACCCACCAACGCCTTTTGCGGGGCGAAGTAACTGGATCGCTGGACCACGCGAGCTGCACGGCCAGCACGACGGGGTCTCGCGACCGCGGTACCACCACACCGAGCAACACGATCGAGCCTTCGTCGAACGACCAGACGTGTTGTTGAAGACGACTGTTTAATAAGGACGAGATAGAGGACAACGTCAACGATCGCGCTCGAGCACAGGGAGAACGGGTTTTTCACGACGTTTCAACGAAGGAGACGGCGATGGACGACGATGACAACGACGACCAGACGACGGCGACGGCGATGACACCGTAATGACGAGCACCGCGACACGAAACCGTGACACCGACACCCACGGTCGAAAAAACACCACGCCGCTAAATTCTACTACAAGATGTCTGTCTGTCTGGCTCTCCGCGGCGCGCACACTGACGGCTCCGCGGCTACGTGACGCTCGCGCAGCCTACCACGCGCAGCGATCATTCCGGGAGCGCTGATTGGCCGTACCGCCACCAGCTGCCGCCACCCGCTCCCCCCATGTACAGCCGCCGCTAGGCGCCACTAGTCGTCGATGAGAATCGACGATTTCGAACGCGAATTCATCGAAATTATTCGTCTTGTTCCGCTACCGAACGGTATCGTATCGTTATTTCGTGACGTAATTGATCTTGCCTTAACGACCCGTCATCCGGAAACGTAGACACGTCGATCGATTGGCTTAAATAGGTCAGTAGGTCATTCATCAATTTTGAAAGTATGCTACCTTAAAACGTCTCGAAATCTGAGCATTGGTCGAAAAAGTTCTGTATTATGTTGGTGATTGGGATGTATCTCGATCGATTGATGTTATCGAAGCTTCGATTTGTTCCACGGTTGCTTTTTAATAGATAGATGGATTGCGATGTAAACAGCAGCCGATAAGTTGGAAACTCTGTACGAGTGGCGCGAAATTCGAGTTGGAGTATTGAGAGTTGATGTATGGAGTGTTTGACGGATGAACGATCCTTCATACGATCATCCATAAGATGTTTTGCAGTATTCTACAGTTAATTTTAACCGTATAGGGAAAATGTTATCAACGCGAATTCAAATACTACTCCAAATAGAGAACTGAAATATTGTTCTGCATTTACTCCGGCAAAGAACATATTTGTATGGAACGCAATTCGATTCGATACTCATTTAGTAAAGCGAGGAATTATTCAAAATTTGTCATGTTTTCCTCTAAACATAGATTTTTCGGTATGGATGCTGAAACAGCAATTTCGATGGATTGCCGAGGTTTTCATCGCTTTGAGAGGATTCAGCCATGTAATCGAATTAAAATCATTTTCACCTCGCAGGCCGTATTTTTTCGACACCTGATACACACTCTGATGCATTTTTGCTACAGCTAGTCGAAACTTTAAAACGAAAGGCTGGTGAATAAATCGTTTGAAAAATCGAGTGTTAATACTGTCGTATTACAAAGCTCCGCGAACGTTTTCACAACGTACTCTGAAAATAATTTCGAATTCGAACTCGTTAAAAATTAAAACGGCAATTTTGGTCTCTTCTCCACGTAAGCTTTAATGCTTGGAATCGCCAAGACTTTCTCCTTCAGAGCCTTCAGGTGAGGTTTGTCTTTCGTGATATCAGCTTCGTAGGCTGTGCTCAACGAATCCGTAATGGCGACGAAGAATAGATCCGCGTAGCTCAACTGCCAAAGACAAAAAAATATTATCAGCTCCAATCTCAATGAAAAAATTTACAAAAGGACAAGGTATTCATACCTGACCACCGTGCAGATATCCTCCATTGTTCTTGGTCAGCTCCTCGAGCTTGTTCAGGTAAAACGGCACCGTGTTCTCGAACACCTCCACTTTCTTCTTCGCCTTCAGTGCTGGATCCTGCTCTCTATAGTAGTTCGATACCACACCTGCAAAAGGGAGACTCGTTGTTACGGTTGCACGAGATCGAACGAGATTTAACGTTATTTACGCGAGCACACCCGGTATAAAGGAATCAATTTGGCCCGGGGAGATGATCAATATTTACTCTTCCTAAAATCGTGAAGAGCGTTCGCGATGGCGTCGATTTGCAGGTTGTCCAGATCGGTTTTGCCGAGCAGATTAAATTGTTTGGCCAGGTATCGGCAAATAGGCAACGTTTGCGCGTAAACTTTCCCGTCGATTTCCAACAAAGGCAACTGACCGAATGGGGTCGCTGAAAAAACATAAAAATCATTACACGTAATGTACAAACCATCAGAGGTCGAAACAAAACGCTGCTACTCGAATGAGTGGAATACTTACTCGGTTTTATTTTAAGCCATTCGTTGATGTCGCGCTCTACCCGGACGTCCTCGAACGGAACGCCTCCGTAACAGAGGATGAACCTTATGGGCTCCCCTAATCCCATCACGTTGAAGTACACCAATTTGTACCATGTCATTTTCGCCAATCTGACGGCACAACGGATGAAATATAACCGATGATGAGAACGTTCGCGGTTGTATTCAAAATTAACGTTGCTTTTGAACGGCAACCGCTGAAAGCCATACATTTATTCAAACGGATATTAACATAACGCGGCGAACGTTATTTACAAACGACGCAGTGTAAAATGCAACGGTCAATGAAAGCGCGGTCATATTTGTTCGCGATAATTAATCCCTAAAATAAATACGTCTTCGCTACGCTCGCGTTGGTCATGGAAAGTGTGTCAGGAAGAGGGATCCTAGGTCATCCATTATTTTAGGAAAAATAGATTAGGGAAAATTGAAACCAACACTCTCTTTCTTACACCTGTTTTGCCTCGATAACGATTCAAGCATCATAAACGTGCGCAACAAACAGTACAGCAGATCCGAAGAGGTTCAAACGATCAAGATACCTTGAACAGCCTGTACAAACCGTTCAGTTGAGTTCGCGAGAGTGATACCGATTTCGAGTGGCACTTTGAACTAAATCACACTTTACCAACGGAAAATCTTGATCTTTTAATCGTTATCGCTTATTCAAGAGTGCACATTGCTCAAACTTACCAAATAAATCAAACGAAACGCACGAAATTCACCGTAGACTAACCGGTTGTCACGGTCTGGTGGGAATTATATGCATCCCCACTTTCATCCTTCGAGCACTCATTGTCTCAGTCTTGTCTGCGAAGCTATCTCTATCTGAAAGGTATCGTCAAGGCTGTGATTGGTCTTCTGCCTCGAAGTAAGTCGCTCAATGCCCTCTCCTCCGATTACTTTCACTTCCAAGCTACATGAGAGTGCTGTAAAGCGAGAAGTTCAGAGTCACGCGTGCCGACATGTAATATTTGCATCGTACCACCGCGATAGATATCGATAATCGTTCGCGACACTCTTATCGCGACTTTAACTCCCATGAAGTAAGCAGAATATTACCCACCAAACGCAATAACTTCGATTTCGAAGTGGTTACGCGAATGCTTTGTCATGATTCGTCATATTCGATTGCATCAAATATTTCGTCAAGGCCGCCGATCTCAACCCGCGTCGAGAGGATCTATTAAGACTCGAATAAACAGAGACTGATTTTTCGGTCCAATCTCGGAGACTTGGACGAGATAAAAAACGAAAGAACAGACAGCCTCTATTCCGAAGCCAGAATGACTAACTGGAGATTTATCTTAATTGTAGTAGTTTTAACGAAGATGGAAGATCGCACACTGGCCGATAGAGCGTTTAAGAGGAATTCTAATCGACGTCACAACGAGACCATGGACATCGAGAAACGTCTGTCCGAGGATGTGCTTCCCAGCAGATACGTTATAGCAATTTCGACTGATTTTCGAAAGGACGAGTTTCATGGGTCTATCGGTATCGATATCGATATACTCAGGGTCAGTGACCTCGATGTTAGGAAGACATTGTCTTGGTCAGGGTTTCTCAAAATTCCACGGAGCTGATATTATTTTCCTCCGTTACTTAATTTTTACATCCAACGACTCGTGAACCACACTTTGAGAAACACTGGTCCAGCTCGGATCATCTGTAATTATGTTTCATCGTCAAAGCGAACGTAACTCCATTTAATTCCTCCAAAGCCTCAAAACTACATCGCCTTGCATTCAAAAAATCTAACTATTTCGTCGACCAAACTGTACTCGGGAAAATGGCGAACGGAAGTCCCAATAAAGTCTGTGCTGCCAGTGGACAAGCGTGAAATGTTAGTGATTAAAACGTTCAGAGTCATCCCTGTAGGAAAATACGTCCTAAAAATGAATTTCAGCGGCGACCTGAAGGGGAAAATCAAGGGATTCTACCTGAGCAAGTACACTGACCTCGACCACTCGGTCAGGTAATAATAAGAATCGCAAGTTCGATATTCATCGAAGAATTCTTTTCATTCATTTCCCTCTTCTATAACTCCCTACTTATGTCTCGTATCGATTCTCCTGCTTTGCAATGCTAACGTTCCTCTTGTATCTCTTTTAATTTGACAAGCAAATGTTGTTTGTCAAGTACCCATTGGCAAAGTACCATCGCTCAAAATCGCTACTTCGTTTTCCTTTCTGGAACGTCTCGGAGATCAGTCTTCAGGAATTTTCAAACTTCACCGTGCGAGATAGCCAAAGGCCATCGAATCAAAGTATTTTTATCGAGCGATACAAGTGTTGCCAACGTTATAGAAAACTGGCAGTAACGCAATTCGAGCCACTCTACGCGAGAGAAGCGTTTCCGTGCTTCGACGAGCCAAGCTTCAAGTCCACGTTTGTCGTGCGGCTCCTCCACTCGGAGAAACCTTCCTACCATGCATTATCTAACATGCCAGTCGCGGTAAGTGAATTATCGCGGTCTGTTATCGAGGAAATACTCGGGAATAATTCCATCGCAGAAGGTGGAGACGACGAATACCGAAACAATCACGTATTTCGATCCTACGCCTCCCATGTCCACTTACCTCGTCGCCTTCCTCGCAAGCGACTTCGACTGTTTGGGAGCCAACACGACCTTGTTGAACGGAACCATGGTTCCCCTGAACGTATGTGCCAGACCCATGTACAAACACAAGGGGACGTTCGCCCTGAACGTCGCCATTCGCGTGATAGAGTACTATTTGAGCGTTTTCAATATCGACTACCCACTGCCCAAACTCGGTAATTCCAGAGATGGTCAATTTGTTAGGGTCGAACGAAAAGTTCTCGGGGAACTTGGGTGGAACATTAGGACAGTTTCTTATATTTAAATATTTATATTAAAACAAATTGAATGCTCAACTCCATCTACGTAAAATCCAGTTCAACTTGGACTCTTCGTTCAGCCAAATGTTTCCCTCACAAATGAGAAATTCTTCGGATAGAATCAAGTGGAAAAATGTGTTTAATGGTCAGATATGGTCGCCATACCTGACTTCGGTGCTGGAGCTATGGAGAACTGGGGTCTGATCACGTTTCGCGAAACGGAGCTCCTTCATAGTGAGAACGACAGCTCCTGTCTGAACACGAGGAGCGTCAGCTTGACGGTGGCCCATGAATTGGCGCACATGTGGTTCGGCAATCTGGTCACCATGAGGTGGTGGAACGATCTCTGGCTGAACGAGGGATTCGCGACTTACATGGAGCACATGGCGGTGGACTACGTCTTTCCCGAATGGAACGAGGTCCATGACCTTCAAATTTACACAGTGATACACCCCCTACTAGTTTGTATGATGTTCAAAGGAGCAAGGTGACGAATTACTTTTTAGTAAATGAAAGAAACAATTCTTTTAAGCTAGCAGAGATTTTCTTTGAGAAGAAAGTATTAGTTTAAAGCGTAACTACATTTTCTCTTATCCTCGTTTCGTGATAGATGGACTCCTTTCCCTTGCACACCAAGTATGTCTCCATGAAACACGACAGCAGGTCACGTGCTCGTGCTATCGTGAAGCGCGTCGAGGACCCTGAGGAGATCGAGGAGATGTTTGATCGAATTTCCTATCAGAAGGTCTCAAACGTTCCTACGAATGATGCAAAGATGCTCGAAAATGACCACTTTTGGTACTCTTTGTAAACAAAATTTGTCTACAACCACGGGTTTTTGCCCCGATCTTAGTTCAGTCTTGTCAATGGAATTTCGCCTACCTCTCTCTTTAAGTATCACAACCTGCACCCAAACTAACGCATTCTACACCCTTCCAATATCAAAAATGACCACTTTCGAGCGCTGTCCTTCGATTTAATCGATAAAATCGACCTGCGCCCCAGGCAGCAGCTGTGATCAGAATGCTGGAGGACGCAATAGGCAATTCGAGGTTCGTCCAAGGTGTCAGAAGCTACCTAGACAATTATCGATTCAAAAACGCGGAGTCGCGCGAGTTGTTCGAGCTCTTGAGCAACAAGACTCGCAACGACGTCGATATCGTCGACTTCATGAATCGATGGACGAAGCTCGCTGGGTTTCCAATGGTCAATGTCGTTCCGCACGGCAAGAAGTTCTTCAGGCTCTCCCAGCAGCGTTTCACGACGAGCAAGAAACTGCTCGAAATACGAGAGTACGTACCGTGGAAATCGTAAATGCAAAATAGACTCAGCGTCCACGGAGGAATATCGTTTTCGTTTATAGCAGCGGAAGCTGGACCATTCCCATAAAATACATAACGAGCAGAAGGAACGGCGTCAAGCTCGACTGGTTCATCGCGAATTATTCTTGCGGTAATGGCCGCCTGCGGGAAACTATTCTCCGTTAAACTACGACTTTCATGGTGACGATTCGAGCATTTGTTTAATTCCGACGGTGGATGCTCTTGTACAGACGCTTCCGGGGCTAAAGAAGGGAATATTAATAGTCGTGTCCTACTTAAGGTGGAAAATTGTTCAAAAGGACGAAGTAAACTTTGTTATAAATATTTGAGACGACAAGAAAGAGATCAGTCATATAATTACAACGTTTCACCTGTTTTCGATCCAAGCCAACACCCGTGACACGATTTTAATCAGGATTCCAACGTTTATCGTAAACAATTAATATATATCACCAACAGACAATGGTCTTATCGTTCATATTTCTTTATCTGATGGCCACCGATACGCCTAGAATATGTCCCTGAAGTCGAGGCAAAACACACTCTCCAAAACACGCTCCAAGTAAATGAAATACTCTAATCACCACCAGGAATGTCCCACTCTAAGTTTTAAACTTTCCTCAAGCTTATCGAAAACCATTAAAATTTGTCACTAATTCGAACCACAAACTTTTCAGTGGAATTGTCGCTGGAGAGGCCAGTTGATTGGATCAAACTGAACCACGGATCGATCGGGTATTACGTCGTCAATTACACGGAAGAAGCGTGGCGCTCGTTTAGGGATTTATTGTCCAAAGACCATCGAGTACGTGTTAAGATATCCGTCACGATCTAGGCTAGCAGCTGTTAGTTTTTAACGGCCGTTCGTTTCTGATTACCGCAGACATTGAGCCCCGTGGACAGAGCAGACTTGTTGCACGATGCTTTTCTTTTGGCGGGGGCCGCCGATTTGCGTTACTCCGCGGCGATGAACTTGACCTCTTATCTCGCGATCGAAACGGCTTATCAGCCCTGGGCCGTGGCCGTCGAATGGTTCACGCAAATGAACAGACTGCTGGCCAGGACCCGCGTACACGAACGTTTTCAGGTAAAACGCATCTCCCAATCGTTCACATAACTTTCATTCTATGAGTGACGATGGAAAATCGAATTTTTTTCGGGCTCTTCAGTCCTACGCGAGGAGGCTCGTTGATAAAATCTACCACAGAGTCGGATGGAATATCCACGAGGAGAAGTTGTTCGTCAAGAGGTTAGTTTATCTATTATTACCAAATTAATCATCGTATTCCTTGAAATTATTCTAGAGTCAAATCTTTCCAAACATTATGATTTCACTTTGAACTAGTGAATGACAAATTAAATGAACAGTGGTTGAAACTGTTGTACCGAGCAGTTGGTTCCCAGTATCATTCCTTGTTAAGGAAACAAACATTCCGCTCGGTCTGGTGCTTTAATTAAGGGAAGGTCTTTCGATTCGTTTCAAGAGAACTGGGCGTGCTGGTGCTGAATGCAGCCTGCAGCGTGGCTCACAAACACTGCCTCGATACCGCTGGAAGGAAGCTGAGAAAGTTCCTCGCGAACAAGAATGGCAAACAAACGTTGCCAGCCGATATTCGGTCTATCGTTTACACGTTCGGTAAGGGGGAATCGTTCGTAAATATTGTCCGCCCGATTTCTTTATTATTCACGGTGTAATGCCGCGATAGGCCTCGTCACGCAGTCGGATGACGTTGGATCGATATTTGAAAACATGTCGCGGCTATTAGCGATGGAGAACGACGCTCAGGAAAAGGAACGCTTGATTATCGGACTGACCGCCATTCGAGATAAAGACACCCTTAATCGGTTCGTCTGAAAACCATTCGTAAGCTAATTATCTTGAACATCGGGTGATTCCACATTGGATCATCAAATACTCCTAGTGCGTTCCACGGGAGGATCTATTGTGGCGGATAGAATCATCAGCCATTTAACGACACTTGGGCTTTGTAAAATGGAACATTCACGATCGGATTGATTCGATAGAATTTCAGAAAATTGTATCTAACAAGCAGGCTGCGAAATCTATTTCCTCGAAAAGAAAGTCGCTCGAGAAAGAATTTTATCCTACAATATTTTATTCATTTCTAAGCACGAAAATCACCTTATATATTTCGTCCCGGGCATTGTTACGTCTCCTTATCTGTTAGATACCTTGAACGCGCCACCGACGGGAACTTGGTACGCAAACAAGATTTTACCGACGTGTTGATCAAAGTCGCCATGAATCCCGCGGGAGTGGACGTAGCCTGGAATTTCATACGGTATCAATTTAATAACCCTTCGCACTCGAGGTGTTTCTTTTTGGTATTTACTAGCAACTCGAGATGCTTTCTTAGCATTCTATTGCCACGAATGCTAAGTTTAATCAGATCACCTTTACCTCGTCGAAATCTTATGGATAAATTAATCTTGCAGATCTCGATGGACGAGCCTCGTCGCGGAGTACAACACCAACGGTTACTCTTTGGGAAAAGCCGTAGTCGCTATCGTCTCGTCCTTCAAGGACCGCCAGATGCTCCAAGAGGTAAATCCCTTTTTTCGTTTTCTGGGTACGATGCGCAAGTTTCGCCCGTGAGATTTATTTCGCAGGCCAGACGATTCTTTCTGGAGCACGAGCTGGGAGTAACCGAGAGCACAAAGAGAAACGCTATCGAGGAGATTGAAAACAGCATCAAATGGCTGGACGCGAACGTGCAAAACATCGATCGGTGGCTGGCGGCCAATGGCTTCGATTAAACCTCGCGTTTCCGATCGCGGATCGCGAAAATGCGGGGCGAACAGAGGCTGGCTGCGATTCAATTTGAACCGCAGCGATGTGTGAGCATTTTATTCGAGTAATGGATGCAGATTAAAAGGAAGGTGTGGCGATTTACCCCGATTATGGCACGCGAACCTCGTTTGGTGAATACTGGATGAAACATTGTCTCTTATTGTGGGTTAAAGGAAGAATAATTACATCCACCTCTGATTTAGAGTTCTTCGCTGCTCGATACTGCTGTATCTGTGAGCAATATTTGTTTAAAAGCGTATTTCGGGATCTATTATCGGCCATGATTAAACCAGGCAGGGTACAAGTAGCGATCCAGAGTTTAGATTATCGCTTTACGACTTCTTTCGAAGATACGCGACCGATATTTTCCAACAGGAACATAATCTCTGAGAGCAACTGTCGCTTGATATATCGAGATTTGTAGCTTGTAATTTAATTCAGCGCGGAACAGAACTATTGGACTGTTTACTGTAACGACTCACTTGTAGCTTGTAAGTTGACAGTGTCGATAAGTAAATACTAAAACGGATGAGTATTTTCCTTTCAATTTTCGGTTAACTTGTTCGATGAAATTACGATCAAATAAATCTGACATTAAATTAGTCTGGAATACATAACCCAACGAGCATCGAGTAATAGTATGCGTGGATGACGTCTGAATAATTTTCTGTACGGCTGTAGCATACCTATTTACAAGTTACTTATGATTCCTGTTTTGTTTTTGCACCCGATCAGCCGATAATCGCGTACGATCACGTTATTATTAGCCTTATCACTTCGCCGTGCATGCAACCTGTCACATTAAACGCAAACTGAATTAACGAAACGAGCCTAAGAAGTTTAAATTACGAGCACTTGTACGAGTGCTTGTAAGTCTCGTAGCTCAAAAATTCTCAGAGCGTTATCCGTGGACCTATCTAATCGACGAATCGAGTTCGTTCTTCACCGCGGCAGGTCTGTCTTAAAAAAAAAAATCAGAGTCAGATATTGACCAGTCGTGGTCGCGGAACGTCGTTTCACGTCGCAGTTATCAGGTTTATCGAAATTTCTTTCGTTACGCATCGTCGATTCACCGACTGGTAAACAGCGGACGACTATGTTTGCCCGAGCTTCAAGACAAACGCTGATTAGAGACTATCCGTCATCCGTTCGCGAATGATCCTCCGCGGTCCGCGACGCGAGTGCTCCTGTTGCCAAAGTCGACGCACGTCGATTTTTGGAGCCGTCCACGCCGTCAAGCACCCGTCCAGGTCACGTTGTGGTTGCATCGAACCTGGCTGATAAGGTAAACGTTTGAAATTAACGCAATTAAGTGACGCCAGGATGGCAGGACGAAGACAGAAAAATTCGTGACAAGTGAATGACGGAAGGAGACGAGGGTTGGATGAATGTTCAATTTAAATGAAACTTGATTATCATAAGAGAAAAGAATTAAAAGAAGGTGCTCTTGATCTCCTTCTTTCCCACGAGGACATCGGGTGTTTACTCCTCCACTTTTTTCTATGTAGATTCTATTTTTAATAATTCGTATTATCCCTCGTGCATTCCCGTAACATAATTCTCATTTTGAACTTCTGAAACATTTATTGTGCTTTCAACACAGCGAGTAAAATTCATTTAAATTGACCACTCGTTGTTTGATCATTCATATCGTTCTTGAAGATACCCCAATCTCTATTTTGGACTTTTGAAACGTCGGTCGAGCGTTTGCATTCTATACTACTCGTTCTGACATTTCGAGCTTCTACTTTCTCTACTTCTACACGCTTCTTTCATCAACTATCTGTTTACTGCAAACTTGTGTCAGTGTTCTTCAGCGTCCAGGATGAACAAGAGTGTGCATTACGCGTTGGTGGCGTTCTGGGAGAAGTCAGGGTGCAAAATCGTCGCGGATTATCCTTCCAAGCAGGACCCGGCTCACAGGGCGATCGCCCTTAGCACCGTGGATGGACTGAAACCCCTGGAAAACGACAAGATCAGCCTCGATCGGGGCAAGTAAGCACAGTATTATTTAATCGTGGTTTCATTGAAGCGTTCTAACGATTTTCCAAAACAATATTGGATCCATGTTTCCGAAGAATACCGTTTGGAAATCCTTCTTTCCACCAGGTACACCGTGCACGTGCTGATAAGCGAGCTGCACTACGTCTGTCTGACCTCCAAGCCAGAGTGTCCTGCTTCAGCAGCCACCCTGGAGTCCTGCGTCCACGTGTTCCTGGAAAAATTGCGTAGCGTGTATAGGGAGCTGCCCATCATAGCAGACCTGTCGACGGACCTGTCCAATCTCGCTGTCATCGACCTTTCCAAGCCGCTGAAGAAGATAGTCGTACGTTCGTCCCTTTAATCTGAAGACGTGTTGACCTAATCGTGACCGTAACCACGACGTACGATTAACCCTAGAGTACTATCACTTTTACGTTCGTTAATGCCACTCGGGGGATCCAGTGAACACTTTTCATTTGTGAAATTGTCACTGATGCTCGTGACCTGAAAAATCAAATAAATAACGAGGGTAGATTTGGCTTCTTTTCAGAGCAATCAAGGTTGGGGTAATATTTTGCTATGAACAGGACTATTTTCCGATGTAAACCCCAAAAGTAACGATAGAATGAGTGTTCCAAGCCAAGAGACGTAACGCATACTAATCGCGAGAAAGCACAGCCTCAATTTTGGTACATTAATTAATGATTATTTCAGGAGGAGTACAATCGACAAGAGCCCGACATAATTCCAAGGCTGGAGGGAGAGCTGGCAGAAATTCGCAAGGCCTTGATGGACGGAGTGCAGAAGCTCATGGACAGGGGCGAAAGGCTGGACGATCTCGTTCGAAAGACCCAGAGTCTGCAAATAATGGTAATCGCGGCAATTCGCGACGATCTATCGATCAAACTTTCATTTTCCGATCCCGGCTCGATAACACGTATCGCGAGCAAGGATCCCGTGATTGAATCGCGAGCAGAAAAGTATTTTCATTCAATGACCACGCACGCGCACGGTGCTTACATCTCGCAAATACGACCCCAGCTAGTAGCGTTGAAATCGTTTATTTCCCAAGGGGTAGTCGTGATTACGCTCGTTTTATTTATAAACCCTGAACAGATACCGAGGGCCGTTAATTATGCCAATATCGGGCAACGATTAACGGGTCACGACCCACTAAACGCACAGTCGCGGCTCGACGTTCGCTTTTATCGCCACTCAAAATTCTGCGAACTTTCTGCGTAGCATTCAAAACTACAGACACCATCATCAACGGGGAACATTTTTTGAAGCAAAGTATCGTCCCCTAGAGTAAGATTAAGTTTATATTCTTTAAATATATCTCGTTAAAACGGTGCATTTATGAGTAGCAATTTTTATCGAATACAGTAGAATGTAATGTTTATAAAAGTGATGTTCTAGAGGTCTGAAAAAATTCGGAGTTTGAAAACATATTTAAAAATATCACACACACGCGCGCACAGAAGTATTACTATTACCAAGCATGTGTTTTCACATTTAAATTTCCTTGTCCAGTCTCGAAAAAACTTCTACGTGGCAAAGTCCCACAAAAAGAAGAACATGGTGGCGGCCGCAGCAGCAGCAACTCTCATGTTCGTCTCCACGTCCCTCTTCGTTGTCCTGCTGTACATCGGGATCCTGTGAAGACAAAACATACACCATAAACAACGTCATCGAAATGTACCAGCGAATAAATTATTTATTGCCATTATTGTTAAGCTTCTTATTTCGCGGCCGGGCGTTTCACCCTTGTAACGTGTGTTATATTATTACAAGTATGGACCCAGAAGATGAATTTGACAAATACCTGTGGCAACGTTCACGCGACAGCATTCGGAACCGTCTGAGGCCTCGAGTAATGCTCGTGTGATTACTAAAGTCTTCGGAATCTTAAGCGATGGCGTCCATGTTGATTTTCGAGACAGACTTTGTCGAGCTCCAGGAGGAAATCAAACGCAGAGACGACCACGCAGAATTCATCAGACGCGAGCATTTCATCGCTGCAAAAAAGATACAGGTTAATCATGATCGAACCCAGAAACCGTGGACAAATTGCAGGATATACTTCATTGTTTTTTCGCGATTCGAATGTGGTCGCGATAGGAGCAGGGAAAACTTTACTCGAGTAATCAATGATGAATGAAAGCACTATATTTATTAAACACGTTCGTTTCGTCGAGTTCCTCGGATAACCTTTCAAACTTATAATGTTGTAATTTCTTTTAATGTATTTTCCGACTGCTGCGTTCGAACAATAACTTTTATCGAACGAATAAAACCAATCGTATCTTTAATCGTTACTCCAAATTCACGTCCAGGCGATTCTCTCAAATATTTATCTGGATTATTCCACCCATCTCTGGGTCCCCAGTGAACAAGCATGCAAAAGATGACCCCGCGCTCGATAACAAACCGCTCCTGCAGAAGTTATCGTTCTCCCTCGAACGCGATGCAAGCCTCACTAATAATAAAGCCTCGAGTGTCGTAACGGGAGCTGGTCGCCGAGTTATCGATTATTTAAGGTCAAGATCGTGACACACAATGCTGTGTACGATCCAAGGAGTTAGTGTCGCGCCCCTCTCGATTTTAGAATGGACGATCTGGTCGCTTCTCATTAAGAAATCAACTTTACGAGTACTCGACATTTCCTCGTGATCCATACAAATTCCAAGCTGTACACATTCCAGTTCAGGAATAATTAAAATACCACCTCCCACAACCTTGGACGAAGGTTTCCAAGGCTTGTTTAAGAAAACTAACGATTGTAAGATTTTTATTCTGATACTTGGTTTCCATTTTAGGCGTGGATTCGTGGAATCCTCACTCGAAACCATCACAGGCTGCTGCACGGGAGCGCCATCGTCATCCAGCGCCATTGGCGCGGCTACTGTGTCAGGATTTTCGCTGATAGATACCTGGTCGAGCGTGTTCATAAAATGTGGCAAGATTACTACGATCGAATGGCGACGACGATCCAAGCCGTCTGGCGTGGTTACTGGGTCAGGAAAACAGTCCTCGACATACCAAAAATGCGCCGATGGCTCGAGACTGTTTACGCCAAGAACGACCAAACCGTGGAAGACATGAAGAAGTTGGTATTCGATGGAACATCTCGATGCTTCTTGTGTATTTATAACTTTCGTTTAGGTTCAGGTGCGACGAGATCGAATACGCTGAACGTGCTATGGAACGCGAGTCGATGCAGTGGACGCTGTTCATACTCTTCAAAGTATGCAAGATCTATTCCAACACGTCTTCCTCTAAAGAGGGTTCCGTTAGAAACACGTGTTAGAAACACTTTTAACTTAGCTACACCTTCAAGTTAACCTCGGTACACCTTGCATAACAAACTCTGAACAGCTCCACCATTTACTGAGAACGAAACAGCAGCCAGGAGTGCTCACCAGGATCGACAAGACTCGTTTCACCTTCATCGAAGAGATGCTGAAGTGCTTCGAGTTTAGACACTACACAGGGAAGAAGGGTACCCGCTGTTGCGATTGTAAAATTGACCCTAAACCATCGCTAGTCTTCCGTGGGACCTATTACGAAAGATGCGAAAAGGAGATTCGCGAGATGGAGAGGAGATTGCAAGCTGGTGACATGCCAGTGTTTAGAAGTACGACGATAATCTCCTGTGTCTAATTTCTGCAACGATATTTAAACTCTTTCGGCTGCTCTTTTATTACCCAATGGCGAATCGGCTACTTTAAAGATCAAAGTTCCAAAGATTCTGAGTAGCGCGAAATCTTCAGGTTACCCTTACGAGGACCAGGAGAAGATATCTCGAAAATCGAACCAGGCGTACCAAGAGGCTTCCTTGCACAATCGGTACAAAGTACCCTCGACGAAAAGGCAAAGCACTTGTCGCTCTAAAAAGAAGCTGGATTTGCAGGACCCCTGCGCTGGGACCAACCAGCTCTACCACAAGATAAAGAAGATGGACTGCCACCTAGATCGACTTCGCCTCAAGTGTCCCATTCACGACGTCGTCTACTCGACCTAATCATCTGGAATCTCCACTCCCCAATCAACCAGTTGAGTTTTAATAGCTAAACGACCCCTTTTATTATCTCCAAGATCACAACTCTTCTCCCCCACGATCAACTACAGAATCTACCAACTAAATTCCACGAATCTAAATAGGAGATAAAAGATGGAAAGGAACAAGATACAATGCTACTGGAAACGGTAAATTTTATTAATACATATCGCGTCGTATCCTACGTACAAATAAAATAGCGGGTACTGGATACAGACGTTTCCGTTTAACAGCGTCAGTTATGCATGCATCACGCCTTGCACGCAAGAGGAGTATTGACTGCTTTCGTCATGGAGACTGGTTTCTGACTGAGGTCAGGGTTCGCGCCCTTCTCGACCCTCTTCTGCATGCTCAGGGACGCCTCGTTCCTCTCCATGCAGTGGAATTCGTAGTTCTTCGACTTGGTCTCGGTGGCGGTGCAGGAAGCTGAGCATTCGGCGATTGGTCGTATCGAGAAGCAGATCTTGTCGTCCATCTCGATCACCTTGGTCCTGTGGACGTTGCAACGTTTGTTGGTGGACTGTAGCTCCTTGTGGTAGCCCCACTTCTGGATCTCCTCGTTCGTCCTTCCAGCGTCGACGTCGCTGATGACGTTGCTCGGGCGGTTCCTCACCTGACGCATGCACTCGAATTTATGGACTTTCTTGGCCATCTCCAGGGCTTCACCCTCGCATTGGTTCTTGGTCAGGGCGTAGGCAGCAACGAACTCCTCTGGTCTCCTCATGATGCAGTTCTTCGGGGCCCAGAAGTCGTTCGTGGCGTCGCCGTCGTAGTTGCCGCAGAGACCGCGGATAGAGTTGCGGTACATGACCCATGCCTGTGGATTAGACGTGAATTAGATTTGAGGGTGACTGAAAGATAGGTGAGGTCACTTAATCTTCTACCACTACCCGAAACCACCCTTACCTTCATCGACATGCGTTGTCCATCGTAGACAAGGTGAATGTCGTGTTCGTCAGAGATGACGCCAATGGAGTCGTCAGCGAGCCTGACGATCTCGAAGATGATCTCATCGTTCCGTCTTTCTTGGTAGCTTTTATCCTTGGTGATTTCGATGTCTTTGTCGTTCAGCTTGACCTTGGGCTGGGAATCACCTGGCAGAAGCAGGATCTCTTGGTTGCCGAGGAGAATCTTGATCGCCTTGCGTCCGTCTTCCGTCTCTCTGGCGAGGATGGTCACGCTCATTTCTTTGGGAATACGAAGTTTCTCGCTGCGGTCGACAGGGTCGAGTGTCGGGAAGGTGGTCATCACCACGTGCCAGCAGTTGCCGAGTCTCATAGGGTAATCCTTGCCGTCAAAGGTCTCCACTCGCGTTTTGTCCAAGGTACAGGATGCTAAAAGTAAAAACCGTGGTTAAAAAGTGGTTTCTTCGCAAAACTGAACTTAGACTCCGCCGATACTTACGGTCCAGTCCATCGTGGTCAATCATTTCGTTAAGATTCCCGTTGGCAGACTCAAGGTCTTCACTGGTGATTTGCATCGGACTCAAGTCTATTTTATTGAACATCGCGTCCATACTGGAAGTCTCCACCAACACGTCAGCAGATTGGAGATTGTTCGAGAGCCTGGCTTTGATGTCGATCTTCTTCTTGCCAGCGTTCTGCGGCTTTACGACAGCTATGCGACTGTCGACGTAGTCACTGACAGCGACGAGTCCTACGGCCGTTTCGGCAAGCTCCAAAAGAGATTTGTCTGGTATGTCCAGCGAAACGTCGACCTCGTCCAACAGCATGGCGAGACTGGCAGCCTTCTGGCAGGCTTTGAGGATCTTGTTGCCGTGCTTCATCTGTCCCTGGCACTCCTTGACCATGGCGGACGTCTTGACCTTCTCTTTCATCTCTGTGCTCTGGGTGAGCTTGCCTTGGATGTTGATCTCCTTGTTCTCGGAGCAAGTCTTTCCGTAACGAACGGCGATGTCGAATTCCTTCTTGGGGATGGTCATCATGACGTGTTCGTAGGACGGGAGGATGTTGCTAGTGGAGACAGTCTGAGCAGCTGCGCAGACTTCGTACTGTATGTCCAGGCTGGGCACCTTGGTGTGCCAGTAGAAGAGGGATCGTTCCTTGTTGTCGGCGACGCTGTCTGTCCAGGCGATGGTGATGACGTTGTCAGACTCGAGATCACCCGGTAGTCGCAGCTGCAGGTCTACCACTGTCGCCTTGGCTGCCTTCACACCTTTGCTCACCTCCCTCAGGAACTGTTTCCTACGGTCTACGCTGTCTGCCTTCTTGTCGGATGGTTCCACGGTCGTAGCGATGGGGGTCCATTGTCTGAGATCCTCTGAACCAGGTTTAATGTTCAACGTGTCCAAGGCCACGGTGAAGATCATCGGCTCCTTTAGCTCGTGTTTTAGATTCATGAACAGATCAGTTTTGCAGAAGACGTCATTGACGACCGTCCAGGGGAACCCTAAGCTAACCCCACCATCGAAAGACCAGAACCGGTCCAAGAGCTTGGGAACCGTCTTATCAGTTTCCAGGCTCACTCTGAAAGGTTCGATGTTCTCCGTTGGCACAAGCTTGGACACGATTACTGTCTCGCCGCTGTGCACAATCTGAGTATTCTTGTCCGTGAGCAGAGGACGTAGACTGAGAATGTCGTGGCTGGAGGTGTACGGAACGACGCTGTAATGCACCAACCGTGCCTTTTCCTCGCCCTTCAGGGGCCAGATCTTCATTTGCAGGTTCTTCTTCTCCACGTCGACTCCCAGCTTGACCTTGATGGGCGCGTAGGTTTGGAGGTTAACGTCCACGCCAGAAACGAAGTGCTCGTGCTCGAACGGGGTGACGAAACCGATTCTTCCTTGGATCTTGGACGAGAAGAGCAGACGGACGTCAGATTCCACGTCCAAGTTCAGACCCTGGTTCATTTGAATCGTGTCCTTGCCGCTGCACTTCCACAGCGTTGGGATGTTGAAGGTGAACACGAAGGGCAGACCAGTCTCCGTAGGGAAGCTGAGGGTCACGTCGTACGATGCAAACTCGCTCCAACTTTTGTAATCACCGTTGGTTTGTACCATATTGTTCGAGAACGCTGTGAAAAGTTGAGAATTATTAATCGTCTTCCACGAGTTTAGTGTGACATTCGATACTTACCGGTGAACATCTTGATGAGTTCCGGCTTGTTGAAAGGCAAGAAGCCCGAGCCGAATTTGCTGTTGATTAAAATGTTTCCTTCCAGTGGGATCGGCTCTTCGGGCATGATGTTCAGCTCTTCTGCGAGTTTCTCCGTCTTCAGTTTCTCGTTACTCTTGTCGTCTTTGACATCGAACAACATACGGAAAATAGGTTTTATATTGGACAGCATTCCTACTATCTCGGTGGGAGGTGTCTTGAAGCCGCCGTACGAGGAGAAAAGTCCGTAGTAAAAGGCACGCGGTGTGATGCTGTCCTCGCTGCCGATGTACTTCAAGATGATGCGATGGAACTGGTTCTGATCTTCCGCGACCTTGTCGAAGATGGTACTGTGAGAGTATAGGTAGCTGTAATCTTCAGGATTGAGCATGTTCATGACGGAACGAGCCTTGTAGGCCAGATCCTCGCTGCCAGGGATGGTTAGCCCCGCAAGACTTATGATGCTGGATTTTACAGCGGAGTTGACGTGCTTGCTAGTGTCGTAATTAGTGAAATCGGCCATTCTCTGCAGCATGCTGAACGGAGGGTTGGTCTTCATCAAGAGGAACACGGCCATGCAACGAACTTCGTGAGCCTCCATGGTGTTCAGGTAGATCTTGTAGAGAATCGGACGCGTCAGTTTTGGGAACATCATGGTCATTTTGTTCAAGGAGGACACCATCAACGTCCTCTGGAAGACTGTGATCGTTTCCTTGCCCTCTAGGTAGGGCTCGAAGATGGAGAGTACCCTGGGGTGTCCGATTTTGCCTAAAGCTACGATGTAGGTCTGAATGCGTGGACTGTCGCCGTCCTTGATAGCTTTGGTCAGCTCACGAGCCAGATACGGGATGTACTTCTCCACGACTACCGTGTCGTGTTTGGAGGTGAGACGACCGAAGGTGTGCACTGGGTAACGATTGTGGATGGTCATGCCGTTCACTTGGGCGAGACGTACCAAGTCAGCGAACACCAGGATGGCCGTGGTGTTCAGGAACCTCTCGTTCTTCACTTTCGGGTTGGTGGCCAGTTCCTGGGAAACGAAACTCGTGAATCTTCTCATCAGAAATTATCAGATCGTTCGAGATCTACCCGAGAAAGGGACCTTAGTTTGATACTTACCAGCAAGACTTTGATGTATTCGTCGGTGGGTGTGCGAGCAGTGGTTGGTAGTTTCGAGAGGAGATTGGCAGCCTCCATGCCATCCAAGTCCCTCTCGATGATCCAGTCCTTGATGGTCAGCAGAGCTGGCCCAGTTCCAGCTTGGGTAACCGCGTCCCTTAACACAGTCCAGGCGTTCATCTTGATGGCCTGGCTCTTGTCGTGCGATTTCAGCTCGTTGATCGGCATGTGGATGTCCTTCTCGACCTCCTTCAGTTGCTTCCTGCTCATGGTGCGAATCAGATCGCTGAGGATCGTGAACTTGGCAAGGGTCTCGTGATTGGGGATCTCGCTGGGCTCTTCGAGCTCGATGGACATTTGAGCGACGAGGTCCTTGGCTGCCTTGATCATGTTGATTTCGTCGGATTTGTCGATCACTTTGCCGTTGTAGCCGATGAAGTTGGGCAGGAGAGGATTGCGAGGCGCGTCCTCCAGCGTGGGCTTGGGCTGCCAGAATTCGTGCTCCTCGCTGCTGGAGATGGAGCTGCTAGAGGCGCTGGACGATTTCGATCCGCGGCGACGAAGGTGCTCGCCCTTCTTGAGCGTCTCCTCGCTGGAACTGACGGCGTCCCTACTGTCAGAGGTCAGGATCTGATTCGAGTTGAGGGCCTCCACTCGCTTGTTGGATCTGCGTTCCTCGTTCTCGGAGAACGGATTGTTGTACACGTAGACGAGGTTGCCAGTGGACTCACGAAGGCGCGGCGAAGGCAAAGGGTTCTTCATTCTTTCCATGTTCGCGATGGTCAGGTTCATTACGCTGACCACGATGCCGTTTTGGTTGTCGTAGAAGCGAGGACTGACTAACAGCTGGCTGGTGGTCACTGACGATTGGATGGTGAACCGTTTCAGGTTACCAGAGATGATCACTCTGCTCGTGGAAGATTTCTGCGAGGATCAAGACCGTGAGTATATTATGTACAACTTCATTTTATTGCATACTATGGAGCGAAGTTACTCACCGTGAGGAATCTTCCGTTGTTGTTGGAGCCAGGCTCCCACTTGGTCGCGCCAGTGATGCCAAAGTGGTAGTCCACCCTCTGGTCGCACCTGCTAAAGTTCCTGGTCTTCATGATGTCGATGAGCAGTCCGTCGCCCTTCAGTTTAGGCAACGGGACCAATTCAGGCTTGACGTGACGCATGTGCTCCGGCAGTGGCGTGATGTCGTAGTGAACCTCGCATTTGCCACTGACGGTGTCCTCTATGGCACGAAACATGCCGTAGGGTTCCTCGTCCGTGGGCACTTGGACGCTCTTGCTTCTGATGGCGTTCTCGCCCTGAGTGTCCACCTGGAGCTGGCTGACGATGCTCTTCAGCATGTTCACCTCCCAGGTCGGGGTGTCTTTCTCAACGATCAGGTCTCTGATCACCCCGTGCTTGGTCTTCATCTCGAAGGGCTTGCCAGACATGGGAAGGTCGCGGAGCTCCAACATGTTGTCGGAGATCTCCGAGTCCCAACCGTTTGGCAACCTCTTGTGGATGCGCGCATATTGACACTTGGACACCACAGCGCCCAGAGTGTTATCGTCCTTCGCTTGGACGGTGAGCAGCGCCTTCAGCAGGATACCCGTGTACTGATCGGACAGTTTATGGAGTCCAGTCAGCGTGCGACTTCGTACCAGGTAGGTATACTCGTTGCCAGCCTTCCAACCATGTTCGAACTCGGCTGAAACTGTTCCAACTGCGGATCGAGAAAAATTAGTCACCTTCTGCAATGTTTACCTGGATGAATCTCTGAAGCTTTAAAGACTCGGGATCTACTAGAAGTTATTTACTTGGGAATGCTTGGGATTCTTGAAGAGAGTGGTTCTAGGAGGTTTATGCTTTCACTTACCTAGAATTAAGAGTGTCAGAGGTAGCCACATATTGCAAGCCGTAGAACACCAGAATGTGACACTTCTCGCGAGACTTCCCCTTTTATATGAATATAATTGTATCGTGTCAGCAAAAATGAATCTCGATAGACATTAACTGAACTTGCTCATCGGCGAAAGCATCTTTATCAATCCTCACCCGGGATCCTCGTATCTATCGGCGAGGTCAAGCTCTATTTTCTCGGTAATCAGACTTTAATACTATCCTGTCACAGAAATGAAAATAACGGAAGCACCGGCTCCATTGCGATGACGTTTCATCTTCTGTCGTGCACACCTTTAAGAATTTAATGATTCATTTTGGAGAACTAATAGTGTGCGTAAAATTGACGTGGAAACTTATTTTGAATAAAGAAATGTATTCCAGAGAGAAATAATAAGTATAATATTTGTTTACTTTAAGTGGACAATGTGAGACGATGACAAGGTGAATTAGCTTTGTCATAGTTCTTGGAACAACTACTGTTGTCTACAGAAGTTTCCTGGTGTTGAGTAAATCGATGGCAATTGTTTCCAGTTTCTCTTTTTTTTATATATTAAGTTAAGTTAGGTTATCTTTGAGTTTTCATTCGGAATGTCCAACTTTTGATCTCGGCACTTTACGTAGAATCAATCGTTATGCAAGTGAATTATTGCATTAACAATGGATTAAGTTTCGGTCTTGCAATCTTGCACTTCAGGGAATGCTTTAGGAAATCTATTAATATTATGTGGTAAATATGAGTGGCCCGAGTACCTTTCAATTTCCCATTAAAGGTTCTTTTTAATCAATTTTTCGTACTGCAAACTGTATAAACTTTAAATCAACATGCTTTCTCCCAGAGAATAATCTGATGCTTGAATAACTAATGTTGCGTTTAATTTTCACGTCCTATTAGAATATAATATATTGTAAACGAATATTCTGAACAGTTAAACATAAAAATCTGCACGAGCAATGAAAATGTAACACGTGGGGTCACAAGTTCATGGCAATAGTAACTCACAAACTTCCATTACATGATTGAACACGTTTCGAAACGATATCGCGGTATCAGCATTCTCCCATCGGACTTTTCTCCGATCATAATTTATCGATCGTGCGACCACGCATCAAGCTACAAAGAAACATTCATTAATCACATTTCCAAGTAAAGCGATACTAATTTATCATTAATTCGGAGACACGTAGCCCTCGTTCTTTTCGTAAAATAGTGCAAACGGTGTCGCGCTATTCAAAAAAAAAGGGGACAGATACGGAAAAATAACATTTATTAAAATATATTTTTTTTTTTTTGGTCATCTCATCCTCCACTCGTTAACGACGAATGGAACTTAATTATACAATTACATGTCCCTCCATCGATTTACATTCCTGTTTCGATAACATCCACAACAAAATCATACGACAATAGCCGTCCATGTCACGGTTAATAATACTTTAAGCATATCGCGCGATAAGCGCCGTGCGTTTCATAAATATAATTCTCTTAAATACTAATTAGCGCGGACGAGAAGCGGTTTCCCAGCGGTGCGCGCGGTACTGTCCGTCTCGACGTCCATTTGCGAGATTGTGGCTTTAATGATCGTCATGGGCTCGTATTCCTGAAACGAAAACGAATTCGTGAATTAATTCACCGCAGTCACTCCGACCTCGCCGAATTCGAATCGGTTTCGACGTTAATAATCCCGGAACATTTGTTTCAAACTGTTATTTTTACAGTTTCAAAAATGGCGATCCCCTTTAAACGGTTCACGAATTATAAAAACAATTTCAACGCTCGTTAACCTGCACGAAAATGTTGAAAAATGGTAATTTAAATGGAGGAAATACTTTGCATATATATTAACATTTTTTGATGAAAACTTAGAGAGATATCGTTTGAAATGGGCACTTTCAATATATATATATATATAAAAAGTGGTAATGTTATGCATGCCCATTAAATAAAATTCTAGAATGTGATGATACTTTTTAATATCAAAAATGCCACCTATCCTCAAATGTTTTCTGAATGAAGAAACTAACATCACCCGTCGAGTTTTTCAAACAATTCTCGATCTAAGACACCGGTTAGCGGGACACGTGCCGGTCCGATAAAAAATGATGCAAGCGTGCTTATCGTTTTTCTGCAACATTATCACAATCTAGTTGCAATGTCAGGGACTCCATTAGGAAAAACAGATTACGCGTTCGCAGATTAACGGAAGAAATTACATCACCGACTCTGTCGTCGTTGACCACATTTTTCGTGGCGTTGCAGCATAATCGCACCAACCGTTAAAAAATTGTACCACTCCACGGTGGGTGAGGTCTCGCTCGCGCCACTTGGAAACGAAATTCTCCAATTCAGAGTATCGTGGACTCGGTAACCGACAGTGATTCGAATTCTGTTTCGTCGAGTGCGAAATCAACGGAGACAACGCGACGGCTAGTCTGAAATTATTCTATTAATCCCATTGTTCCGACATCGCCGCGTGGAGCAGAATTTTGAGGGGAAAAAGTATTTCGTGCTGGTGAACTAGAAATATATTCGATAAGTAATTCAAATAATTTCTTTCATTTCTCCGCACGGTATTTTGTCTTCTCCGATAATCACAGACTTCGCGTAAATTCCTCATACTTTCACTTGCCACAAATGCATAAACATATACTTCCAGCTGAAATGAATTTTCTCTCGTAATTTGAATGTTTGTTTCAACGAAAAATACTGAATAAGTCACCTCTTGGCCGTCTACGTCGACTTCCTGAAGGACCTCGTCGAGGACGGAGACGAGTTGGTTGACGTTGTCGATGGTAAAGACTATGGGCGGTTTCAGTTTCAGGATGTTGTCGTCGGGCCCGTCGCTGCTGACGAGGACCTTCTTGTCCTTCATCCTGTTGACGACGTACTTCGCCTCCGCTGTCGCTGGTATCCTCTTGGTCCTGTCGCGCACCAGCTCGATACCCACGAACAGTCCCACGCCTCTCACGTCACCAATTATCTTCCTCCGTTTGGCCAGCTTCCTCAGCTCGGAGAGCAAGTACTTTCCCACCTTGAGCGCGTTCTCCTGAAGATTCTCCTGCACTATCACTTCCATCACGGCGTTCGCTATCGCGCAGGAGACAGGATTGCCACCGTACTGAAGTGCACGGAGAAAAGGAAGTCAAAGTAAGTACACGGAATATAGAATAAATACCCGGAAATATAAAAATTCACCGTAGAGGGTGGAATCCCTTACAACATATATATTCCAAGTATTTGTAACAGAATCTTGGTTTCCACGCGAAAAATTATTTGATTCTTCGTCAATTACCGTATTAAAGTACTCGATCCCAGTGGCTTTGAAGCTTCCAGCGATGGCTGGGGTGGTGATGACAGCCGCCACTGGGTGTCCATTGCCCATGGGCTTGCCCACGGTGACGATGTCGGGGATGACGTCTTCGCCATAGACTTGGAAGGCCCACATATGACTTCCCACCCTGCCAAAGCCAACTTGGACCTCGTCGGCGATGCAAACGCCGCCAGCCTCGCGAACGTGCCTACACCCATGATATTTTTATATTAACCAACTTTGCTGGAACAGAATGATTGGTCGAAAGTAGGCAACACCGTGTACCTGTACGCGTTTCTGAAATAATTCTGAGGGGGTAGAATTTGTCCTCCGACGGACATCAGGCTCTCAGCGATGAACGCGCAGACGTTGCGACCCTGCGTCTTCAGGTTCTGGCAAATGTCCTTCACGTCGTTCGCGTACTTCACCCCGAGATCCTCGCCTGGATAGTCGGTTTCGCGATACTTTCCACGGTAGACGTCTGGACAGGGTGCCTAGGGGGCATATGAGACGCCATGAATTTGACGTGAAATTCTTGTTCGTGCTTGTTCGGTTCCGTAGTACTTCGTAATAGCAAGGATTTATTAAGGATTTATTAAGGATTTATTAAGGGTGGTTATTACGACCAAACTTTATATGGAGCATCGAAGTCGTTGAAGTCAGCATTAGAAAAAGTAGTTAATTCGTCCTTACCACGTGAACCCAGTCCTTCTTGCCAGGTCCGTTCGGTTTGTTGAACTTGTACGGCGATATATCGATCATCGAGGTCAAATGGCCGTGATAAGCACTAAAACCAGAAAGAACAACGATGAACGAAAACCTTCCCCCAGTCCCCGAGTCTGTTCTCTAAGTTAAACCCTACAAAGTAATATCTTTTATCTTTTCAGTGCTCCTACGTTGTCCTCCGTGCGAAGATAAAGCTAAGAGAATTGGCTTTCGTCTTCGACGATAAAACGAGGATCCCTGAAAATGTTATTCTCTCATCGATTGCTATCCGAGAAACGAAAAAAATAAAAAAAAAAAAAAATAAAAAAAAAATTAAAAAAAAAATTGCATTGAACCGTTGGGCAACCGAGCACCTACTATTGGGAGCCGAGAAGAATGCATCTGAGCGTTTACAAAGAATTCGTGTTCGTGCTGTCGGTCGTGTTACTTTATGGAAGCGAAAATTTTGATGAAATAATTTTTCTTTGGACCTTTCAAGGATTGTCTGTAGTTTTTCTGAAATCTTAGGTCGCGTTCTTCTCAGCTCGCATAGTATACGCTTCACACTAGCTTCCGTATCGGTAACAAGGCAAAGGGGGGGCGCAGGAGATGTATGATTACGTTATCAACGGACCTAATTTCGTGCAATGAAGATTTCGATGCGGTCGGTGCAACTATGATGGTTCACGGGTCATTTGCGAAGCGCTGTAACGTTACGAGCAAAAAGAGAATGAAACTAAGATGTGTGCGGCGCAGCTGCAACGAGCGTGGGTGTAACACGAGATTAATAGTGCACTCGCACGCTGACAACAACAATGTCACAATTGTTTCTTTATCAGAGGAAAGGTTTCCCTGGTCTCTTCTTCCTTGGCAATTTTTTCTTCAACTTTCCGATCGATCCCTATCCGTCCGAATACGAGTAATCGAATTGCAATTTCGTCTGAATTTAAATCTCTCGACCTCCCTCGCCCCCTTTGCAAGCACACTCCTCGCCTCGCTTCTTTCCTATCGTAAACATTCATCTGTCCCCAACAGGTCCGGCTCCAATCGCCCTGTAGGACGGTGAATCCTCTCTAACATTGTATAAAAGAGTACTTTTGTTTCAGAATTTCGCCTCCTCTTGTCGTGTTGCGTACGTGGCACGTTCGTGTCACCTAAAACGACAATAGCTTTATGTTGGGCGACCGTAAGCGTCGAAATTCGTCGTGGCGAGCGTCCCATCGACATCGTCGGATTCCCAAATCGATCTTCGTTGGACATTCTGGACGAATCAACAGGCTGTAAACAGGTAAAAAGAAAACCCACTCGATTAGTCAACGGTCGAAACATGGATCATTAACGAAACTCGTTTACACGTGGCCGTTTCTCAGTGGTCAAGAACCATCGAGCTCGTACGCCCCTCCGTTATTCGGATCGTTCTCGCATTGGCTATCCCCCGGTCTACTATCGACTAGACGTCGTCGAGAATTCTCGTTGAAGTCGTAGGACTCCTACGCGAAAAACGAACAAAGGGTTCCACTGTAAATCTTTCAGAATCGTCGCACGAGACCCGCCGCCGTTGGGAGCGGAATCTCGTTGCGCTTTCTCACTGTTTCTCTGTGACTTTTCGTTCCTTCTTTTGCGACCAAGCCGTGTGACAGGCGCCAAAGATGGCTGTTTGTTGCAAGATCGAGGAGAAGTTAGAATTTTAATCGTAGAGTGTTAGATACGTTTCACAGGGGACCATTTAAAGTCTGGAGGAATTGTTTAGAGGAATTGTTTAGCTGTTGAAATTTATGAAAATGTCCATCTGTGGCACGAGCACTCGAAACAGAGGATACATTGAGATGGAAAAGCCATAAGCAGCGAGGCCCTGCTGAGTGCAGGGAGTCGAGGCAGACTTAATTTTCCACCGAAGGCCACTTTTCTCGCTCCAATCTCTCTACCCCCCACCACCGATGCTTTCCCACCTATCTAGCTTCCAATTGGGTGTTGACCTCCAGCAATCAATTCAGTCTACCTCGACTTGCCGATACATAGCAACCATTTCGCCCTGTTTTCTCTTCAACTGCAACTCGGTCTCTTTCAAACATTCTCGAATAACTTCCGAAGCCCAGGTCAACTTCGTGACCCTGCATAGCGCACGAAAGTAATCAAGGAGCGAAATCGTTACGTGTTGCGGTCTCGTTTAATCGAAGCACGTCGTTTTCCATTTTCGTGCTCCACTTCTCTCTGACTTACTGATCGAGAGTGATGATGTCGCTGTTCTTGGTGTGCGTCTGAGCGAGACGCAGGGCGAGATCGTTGGCCTCGCTGCCAGAGTTCACCAGGAAGCAAACGGAGAGTGGTTCCGGAAGCAGCGAAGTCAGACGACTCGCGCAGATCACCAGGTCATCGTGGAGGAAACGATTGTTGGTGGAGAGCAACGCCATTTGCTCCTGGCCAGCGCGAACCACCGCTGGATGGCAATGGCCGACTGTAAGTAAACGTGTTCTACTTAATTCCGCCATGGGAAATTGACATCGATCAACAACAACAGAGGCCAACTCAATTGTCGATATACAAAGTGTTGATAACAAATACTTTTAAGCAAACCAAGGTCATAAATTCTTTGGAAAAATGTGTGGACGCGAAACGAAATTAAACCGACACGATAAAGACTCTCTCGACAATAAACACGGTGGAAATTTCCGTACCGATTAAAAGCGACGATACTACTCGTTTTCATCGACCAAGTAATAAATGGAACGATTTGTATCTGGGAGATACAATTCCATTTTTGGAAAAATGAGATTAAATGGGATTAAAAGAGATTTTGAAAATGTAGATAATAGAGGTGCGAGTCGGGAGTCGCGTGAGATTATACAGGCTTAGACCGAGTGTTTTTCTATGTTTGAAGAAGTTTGAATTTTTCCGCCTACCCATACGCGTGACATTTGATTCAAATTAATCTCTTGTTTTTCCGAATCGGAATCGAGATATCTATGATAGTAGGAATGTTTACGACACCCGTTTGATATATGAGCGAATTGACAGTCAAATGTATTTCAGTTAATGTATTTTTATTTTTACTTTTCCACCTGTTCTTCTTAGGTCGATAAAATAAATTCTAACGTTCGTGCCAGCAACAGCTTGGAATATTTGATAAATTACGTCTCTTCCTTGACCCGCGTTTTTTCTAAGCTCGTTGTTCAACAATTTTTATTTATACAACCTCCTGTTATAAGATACTTTTGCGTACCGTGGGCAACATTGTTGATGCAATCCAAGTAACGATTCCCCCTCTCGTCGTACATGTACTGCCCCTCGGCTCTGACGATCTTCAGCGGATTCGACTTGTAAAACAATTTGCACGACTGGCTGCGAACACGATTATTCCCCGTGTGTTACGTCGCTCGTTAATAAAGCCGGTATCGTTATGCTCGACGACAGCGAACAACGAGTATGGAAAGGAATCGATCAAACTCACCCGATATGGCGCTCGCGGAGCCTGATCGTCTCCGATTTAGGCATTTGTTCCAAAGACTCTGCCATGGCAAAAAATGACGTCTGTGAAAAGATAAAAAGTTATTCGAGATCTGATTGAAATTTTAATTCATGCATTTAACAGGTCTGACAGGTTTTTATAAAAAATTGGAAGTCGATTGAATTTACTTATATAGGGATTTTGGAGGCTTTAAAAACCGTCCAGATTTTATGACGTTTTATCTCTTATTTTTGATCAAAGTTGAATGAAGTAAGACGAAGCGTTTCTATTTTAATATTTCTTTTAGAAATTTAACAATAATGAAACAAATATTCATATCGGGCTTTCGGCAATTCCTTCGATGTTATCTAGAGCTAACGTTGAGAGTCCCTTTTGTCTAATAACATCATGGAATTTCTCGTCGGATGGGAACACATCTAAGACGATTAATGGCCACATAATTAATTTATGAAAAGCGACTAACACGTGAAAGCTGAGTATCGGACGTTCCCCATGGGATAAGTAACTTTCCAGCGGCTGATAAGTGCACGTGATTACTACGTGGAAGTAGTACTTCCATACACTCTTTCGTCCATAGTCGCCATGACGCGCGATAAATCGAGTTTTAGGAAAAACAACATATCTCTCTGTTCTGTATAACGTACACGTCTGTATTCGCTATCACTTATCACTGTATTTAAATTGACATACTCTTTTAATCGAGCCGCCTTCTTTAACCCCTAAACCGAACTTGCACCATAACAGCCCGATACGATGGGTTATAAATAAGTCCAGCGTTTCCATGAAGTTATTTTAGAGGAAGTTTATTGGCATGCGTGGACGATTATGTCTGGTATATGTATGAATCCTACAGCAATTTATTATACCTTCGCATGAATGGTACAAATGAAGATTTAGTTATCGGACTATATTATTTTAAGAAGAGGCAAGAGTATCGAATAGAAATGAAAAGAAACGGAGATAAAATTAACGAAGAACCATCGCCACTACCATGACAATCACCCCAATGTACCCATGACTCCTCCGAACAAGTCAAGTCTCCATAAAAGTTAGTCAAACAACTTCAAACAACTTCAAACAACTTCAAAAACCTCACGTCAAACCTCCGTCACCAATTATTACAGAAGAAAAATCAACACAAAACGACCCATTCGATCGCGCGAATGAACAACAGATCTTTCATGGATCGAAACGAGTGAAAAGAACTTGAAACGGACCACGGTAGGCGCCGAAGGCGCGAACGATGAAGTATTCAACGGGACGCGCGCAGAAAGTAGCCCGCGAAAGCGTTTCGTCACGAAGGAACGCCCACGCGCGCTCAGATTGCCTGACAGAAGGAGCGTAGACGGCGATGATCGTACCTGAACTCGTGGTAATAGTAAATCACGGTTCCTCGACTTCTGAATGCAGCCGTCAGCTCAGTGCCGCGACCTACTCCGGTGACGTCATATATAGAGCTTGCCGATTGTGCGGAAGAAAGCGGGGGGCTGCGCGCGCATTGTCCTCTTCGCCCTAAAGCGATGTTAGAACACTCGTTGCCCCACCCCAGCGGACGCATTATCATCGCCTTCGCTAATCGCGACGCGTGCAAGCCGACACAGGATCGAGACTATTCTTTCGATTGCTCCTATCGCCACCTCCGACACAATTTTTCAAGACCCACTTAACGAGGGGGTTGAACTGAACAGGACACAGGGAAAATGGAAGCCAGTGATGGGCAAAAAACCCTAAGCTTCGAATAAATCTGAAGTTTGCCGATGCGTGTTTGTCTCGTTTCTTCTGTCGAACATTTTCCAAAGAAGGAAACGAGACAAACACATCGGCAAACTTCAGATTTATTCCAAGTCTAGGGCTTCGCCCATCGCTGATAGGGGTCTTGGAATGGGACAGGGTTTCAGGAAAGTTCTTCGGTACACTCCTTTCACTATGAACTCCTCTATGAACGTTCTACCAAACCCTCCATCTGTCCAATTTTTGATCGACGAACATCCAGCGAGAACTGGAGTTCGATCTTGCTTGTTAGGGGCCCGGTTTGTTTGAAGAGTCGCAGTCGAGTGCGGGCAGTGCAAAAGTAGATAATAAAAGGAAACGGTTGGAGGTCCGTGATTGTTCGTTGAATAGAGTGGAATCAGAAGAACGATACATAGGTTGAACGAAGTGGGATCGCTGACGCTCCAATCAATTCCGCCACTTCTCTGTTTCGGTGCCGGATACACCAACGGAGATATTGCGAGGAGGAAGAGCGCTTCGCGGCTCTTACGACATCGAGGCAGAGGAACGTGACGGGACTGTTTATCGGATGAAGTAAAATTTGAAGAACGTCGGTGATCAAACCGCGTAGATCCAGTTTTTCTCTTGGCACTCCTCGTCGAGGAGGAATAGTCGTCATAAATGTTGCAAGATAAATGGGTAAGGAGGAATCTAGCGAGGCTGTGATGGTAAATTATATTCCAAAAAGGTGGAAGAAGCGTGACTGAATCCAAGCGTCGCCGTGCGTAGTAAAGTTCTTGTTGAATAATGTATTTTGTCGTAGCAATTCTAAAAACAGTAAAATTTTCAAATTCATTCTAACGAGTTCCAGTAAAATTCCCTCGTGGAAAAGTTGCGATAGGACTAGCGTTGCGGGAACTAATAATAGGTGACCGTGAAAAATAGAAACGCAATAGAACCGCGTCGATTGTGGCAAGAACGCAGTTGTCGCTATATAATTGAACTATTACTTTGCATGCGTTATTTAATCGACGATAGTAGTGCGACGCCGAATGAGCCTTCGGGACAAGCTCCGTTTTAACGAATTCGTGATGGGGTGTCATTCATTGTTTTTATCCTGTCCTTATCGTATTACATAAAACAGCGCATTGTTATCGTTGCTGCATAAAATTACAGATCGGATTTCGGCACGAGTTACTCCAATCTCGTTTAGCGTAATTTCGGATAAGCTTTATCATCGAGTGCCTGAAATCAGCGGGCTTTATTTTTGATTCTCGCTAATTCGGACGACACGGTGAAAGATAGCGTCTGTAGGACACTACGTGATCGGATAAAATAATTAGAATTTGGACAAATAAATTTGATTCGACTAGAGACTAGAGAATTTATTGCTACGCCATAAATCGTTGTTAAGAGAAACGAAACAAATGAGAAATATAATATTAACGAAACAACTCAACGATCGATTTTGTCGAAAGCCAGTTTTGCAAATCGTTATTTCGCCTTTCGAGCACGGCGATTAAATTACGCCGGCACGTGACTAGGTGAAATCAATCACGCTCGCGTATTTGTGAACGATAACCGCGAGTCGAAGAACTGATTGCGAGCGAGAAGTGGGCTGGTTTTATCGTGCGTGAACGTAATTGGTCGTTGGTTCGGTAACGACGCATGCACGTTCACGGGGTAAGCAAACTCTCGAATCGATAGGCGTCGATTAATGGAACTGGATCAGAGTGCCAGAGATGGGCGCGATTTTTCGTTCGCATGCGCGACGCATTAGAAATGCACTTGTGCATTTTGAGCACGATGCAACTACGCGCAATCTAATATTGTTACGTTCAACGAGTTCCTCGCTTCTCGCTAATAAATTTTGAAACAAAAATTTTAGTTCGTTACCACGTGGCGAGTTAATTAATTTTCGAAGACAGCGTCAATCACCTCGATGAGTTTGATATCTTCTGGAAGCGGTTCGATATTCTTCCGAATCGTCGACGAAAGGGATTCTCGCGGTTCGATCGGCGATCGTTGATTTATCGATCGTAATCGCGCGTCGCGCTTGAAACAACGTTGTCGTCGCGCGATACACTGAAACTCGCACGTCTATTGATAGTTTCATGCAAAGGAGGGCGACCTCGTGTATAATAATCGCCTGACATTGGCATCGTAACTGACAAACGAGACTAGCGCGACATAGAAGTGTTTTTCTCGGCTGACACGCGGCCACGATCATCTCTCGTTCCCTGCTCCATTATTATTCATCCGACTCCATTGTCTCTGGTGATCGATATCTGGACAATCGAATGTTAATCGGCCTTTCTTCCTGGTATTTGACAAAAAGAATTTTTCATTCAGCGTGGACGTAATTAATTTTATTTCGATCGTGTTCTCCTAGATTAATGAATTTAATCTTGACGTTGTTTACTCGCACAGATTTAATATAATGAATATTCATATAACGTCGATTAAATCTCATATGTAAACTTTCTACATTGCAGATTCAATTTTGATATTAAAAATTTCCTAAAATCGATTTGCTTTCTGAAGATCCAGTAAGATATTACTTTCCTTGTCACTGCCTGAGTCTCTATACTACCGCATAAGTAATCGGCATGTATTCGTTTCAATAAATATCTCTGTCATTTCGAGATGAGCGTGCACTCTCTCATCGAACATCTCGCACCTGTGCAAACCCGTTTGCTCGTCGAGAGTTCCCAATGGAAAATTTCCCCGAGCTCCTTGATCGTTATCGTTGTTATTGACAGATTATCGTTGCGAACTAACGCGAATGATTCCGTTTGTCGGTCGCGCGTACGATCGTCAAACAATGTTAGATTTCTTTTGCCAGCTGGACGATCCAGGCGTCACGCGAGGCGAAAGCGTGTCCACGAGACAAAAACGATTGGTAATAAACATTCAGCAAATGAATTTCATTAGCATAGACCAGCATTTGCCGTGCATTTCAACGAGACACTCAGAAATTTTCCATTATTCATCCGGCCCTGGTTTTTCTTCACCTTCGCGAGCTTGTCGATTTGCGACGCAGTTACTCGTAAACAAAATGTTTTTCTGTATTTAATTAGTTAGAGTTCAAGTTCCGTTCAAAAACAAACTATCGAAACTTTTCAGCAAGAAAGTCTCGACACAGACACGAGATCTGCGTTTGAGAGCAAACATCGAACAAGGTGCGACAGAGTAACACGAAGGTAAACACGTACGATGACACGTGCCGCACGTGGACGATAGTGAAACGCGCGTGATAGCCACTATCACGACACCCTAATCTCCTACCGATGCGTTTGCAACCTTCTTCTATTGCGTGTATCTGAAACTTCATCTCAAAAAAGATTATTCTTCAAGTTTCTAGACCTACATCAGATCGATAGACCAATAATCATTTATATAATCATTTTTCCGTCGAACAAATAGCGATTCCAAAGCTGCTAATTTTTTATTCGTTAACTTCTGTCGGGATAAGTTCGCCCACGTCCACTGCACGATATCGCAGTCTGGCGCCCTGCAATCTTCTGGTTTCTTCTCGTCGAATCTTCGACGGTATGCAAATTGCAAATTGTTTTGCAAGAGTCCATTGGCTAAACGACGCGGCCCGCGGCGTAACGCGCGATTATTTCCTCCGCTTGCGTAAGAGGTCACGTCGTTCTTGTAGTTGATAACGTTGGCGACGATACGAAACCTTCCAGCGGCGCGAACCGCTGCTGAATCAGAGGTTGGCGAACTTTTTACGAGAAAGGGGAAGCAGATGAACAATTTTAGACTCTGAGAGCACGGAGATAATATCAAGGAAATTATTTACAGTGGAATCTTCGAAGTAACTTACGGGTCACCAATTTATTGACAAGTGCAAGTGCACAAACAACTGGTCAAGTTGAAATAGTTATCACGAATTAAATTTCGACGTGGAATTCTACGAAATATTCTTAAGAAATGTTACTACTGTCGATGATTAAAAAAAAAAAAAAAAAGAAAAAAAAAATGTTCACCTTTCCGCAGTCGGTAGGACTCGAACCTACGCTCCCAGAGGGAATCTGATTTCTAGTCAGACGCCTTAACCACTCGGCCACGACTGCTACGTTCGTTCATTGCGTTTAGTCCAGTTTTCACCTGCAAATAAGACTGACAACATATATAGCACGGAGTGGAAAGTTTTATTCTCGAGACTAAAGAAAATTCCTTTGCATAAATGAATTTCCTTGTAAAAATAGAACATTTAGATAACCTAAAAAATGATTTTCAGTTTTGTTCCACCCCAAAGCGTAGTATATAGACTGGTGCGGTAGTCCCAAGTCTCCATGGATCTATGTAACAGTCTGAATCCTGTAAGTATCCAATATGTTGGTCTCATCTGACGCGATAGTTAGATTGCGAGTCTCTAAGAAATTTGTCATTTCTTGATTCCTCACCTGTTGGTCCTCTGGTTTGAACCCGTCCCATGTTGCGAGTCCTCGATCCGATGGTACCTTAGTCGCGCGCTTATTTTCATAGGTAGGAACAGGAAACTAGACTTATGAAATGAAAAATTGTATTTCAGTGGATCGATACAATAGAAAGATAACAGACGAAGGACGCAATTTGAAATTGAAATTTATTTAATAGACATTATAATATACTGATATCTACGTTAATCAAGTACAGCGAACCAAGTGGCTTACCTCGTAGAATTTCATTTATACTCGTTCGACACAAAAAATGATTTCTCTCGTCGAGACTGTATAAGTTTAACCGTCGATTACAATCCTCCGTTACACATCTCCCCTGTAATATGTTTGACCGTTTAACGCGTCAACGATACCGAAA